TCAAAGCTGGACCCACCAGTGCAGCTCTTGAATATCCGTTTAGACGCAGTGATAGGTCTCATGTGTAATCCGTAAAGCGGTAAATACTCGTCGCTAAGGAGATGGTAAACAATCGCTTCTTTATGTGAGCTGCTACTTGTACTGTGATTGTGCCTGTTATGTGTATATAACTTAAGACTTTTTTGAGACTCTTATGTAGCTTTCATAAACCTTTCCTTTTGGTTTAGTATGGCTTATTTTTTGACTACAAAATCAAATAACATCCTATGTAAAACAGGAATGCCAATGGTTTGGAAATATTCACAAGAAGTTATCTATTCATTCTTATACATTTATTTTGATTAATTAAGCCGCTTTATCACAGTGCTGATTTAAGCATAACCAGATATCCTGACCCAAGTTTACCTTCCGAAAGAAGAGGGTAAAGATGCAAATAGAAAAAATTCATGCAGTAGTCCTGGCTCTGTCGTTCTTAAAGAATCGAAAGGCGCCAGGCTCTCCGCACAAACTACTCACTATTTATTATTGACCAAGAATTTTCCAAGAAAAAAGAACTTTGAGTTGGTAATGACCGATAAAAGTTCTCTGACTTTATAACTCTCTGAATATCTGCGTACGTTTTCTTGTTCGCATCAAAAGTAACTTATCCGATCATCCTAGCTAATCGGTTAATTTTATCAACAGCTTCAAAGATTGCAAATGAGACACAAGACTTCGTAGACATCATTCGCATTTCTTGAAAACACTAAATTCGCACAAACTGAAATAGGCACAAAAACTGTAAGGCGTATATGTTGCATGTGTACAAATGTTCTTGGAATCACTTCAATCAACATATGACATCATTTGCCGTCTTTAAACACGCTCTTGGCCTTTGTGAGTCTTTTAGTACAGCTGTAAATAAAGTAAGAACTGAAGTTTTTGATTGAAAATTCTTTTAATTTATTTACATTTGCTCAGGTACGACTTTTTCAAAAAATCATTGCAATGATCCTGTATGCCGTAATTCCATACTTTTGCAGGCAAATCTATTGAATTCAAAAGCATTTCTCGGCGAATTCATAGTTTTCTGTTACTCAGCTAAGTCTTGAGGTTTTTCAGACCAACCACTCAATACATAGTTTGAAAAACATTGAGAGCGTGGTTAATTAAAACAAAAATGAATTACTTGAGGAAATCTCTAACTTTTCGATCAAAAGTCCAGGCTTTTCTCGCATGATAATTTTTGAATGATTCTATCATTTCTCAGCCAGTGATGTAAATGCTTACTAACTTCCACATATGACAACCTTCTCCAGCATGTCCGAAAAAGCATAAAATCAACATATGTTTGTGAATCTGAGTTGGCGAAAAACTGCGTTGCGGAAGGTTTACCTTTGGATAAATATCTTCATTGACACTTCCCTTCTTTTGAGGCAGTATAGCTAGCTTAGGTAGTTTTGTAGCAGTTTGTATTACCATAAAGTGTTAGAGTAAAAATTGAATGCGAGTTTACAACACTAGCTCATGAATAATTATTTTTTGCTTTTCTTGGGTTAAATCGGAAACTTTTTGCTTTTACTTGATGCTGAATATGTTTGAAAAATGAATCTTTCTGGTGGGCAACTAAATAGGAAAATACTGTTATCAACCTAATTCTAAAAACAGTTCCAATAAACTTGAATTCAGTTTTCGTAATAAACTTTGCTACGGAGATCTAGATATTTTTTGTTGTTGTTACTATTGCTTTAGTGCTGATATATTAGGTTGGCACATAAGTTTTGCAACTTTTCCCGTAACTTTTTTCCTATTTTATGTAGCAATCTCATTTTGTGGCGTCATGTAGATCGTGATGTAAGCTGCAAGTCTTTGCAAACCGTTTGATTTTTGATAACGTAGTACAAGAAATCTAATCATTTTTTGAAAACTGCTGAAAATCGAGGTTTCACGATTTTTTGGCAAATATGAAGCCCTACGAAACCTGATTCAAACATGTGAAAAAGCAATTATAGGCAGCATGTAGCGGGAAGTTGGCGCATTGGAATCAGTGAAAAAGAAATGAAATCTTAACACAAATTAAGGTGGGCCGCCTTTGAGAAGTTGAACAAGTCAAATGCGTCAAGTTTTGAAGGCAATTTGTCAATAACTAAGCTGCGAAAAGTCAGATTTCGCTATAACTTTGCACTATAGGGTAATCCTATGCGGTAAACACGAATATCATATTCATTTCTCGCTGAAATGAAATTCATGTTTTGATCTCACGAACAAGGCCTTTTCATGCGAAACGGATCTCATTTTTGTGATCAGCATGTCAAATAAGCCCTACAGGCCAAGTTTCAGCAAAATCTGATGCATTCTAAAAATTTTCCCATAGTACCGTAAACCTACCGTAATCCTCACATAAGATGGTAAAATTCGGCAAAAATGTGTGCATTAGAAGCTTACATCATATTCCTTATATTGCCAAAAAATGAATGCGCTACGTTCAAATAGACAAAAGTTATATAAAAATTTGCATTACTTATGTGCCAACCTAATATTAGGTTGGTGCAAAAGGAATGGCCGATTTGCGAATTCTCAATTTGACGTGGTATAACTTTCTAAAGAATCCATATTTCTGAATGCGGTAAAGACCCTCAGAAGCAGCAAATTTTTCGCCATACAGCGCATACTTATTTACCAGTGCGTCACCTCCGCTTCGCGGAGGTTCGCACTGGCTCCCTATCCGTATGCCTTTCTTATGTTCGCATGAGAATGGCTTTGAAACTCACCACGCGATGATGAGCATCACAAATGAATCGTAAACAACTGTTCATTCATGAAGCATCTTCATGTAAGATCGGTAATTTTGTGAAAAAAAACTTTGTTGCATGGAAACAAATGCGAATTTGAACGGATTACACTGAATTTATTTTAGTTTGGTAATCGTCATAAGGATAATAGTCACCTTGGGCTACATTTTAGTGCAAAAATCTTTTCAGTTTTTTCAAATAAAACCTTGCCAAATCGACCATCTACGCGTTCATCACTTTCTGGCGCTGTTTTCGCAAAAAAGCAACCTTTTTGAGCATTTTTTGGGCTAGAATTCATGGCGCGCAGAGTTACTTGTCAGGCAAATCACAGCTTTGCAAAAAGTCGAATTAGCGACCCAGTTTTGCGTGCCAAAAGGCGCGTGGACCCGTTTGACGCGTAAATTTTGAGGGACCCGTTCATCGAACCGGCTCGTCCTTGCGCATGGTGGGCCTACACGCTGGCACGGTATGTTATGCAAAATTGCAGCCCGATAGCTTAGCTGCATCTTCCTCTATGAATTTCGTGACAGACAGATTTTCACACAGACACACAGACAGACACACAAAGAAACAGACGGCCTTAGCGCGTTATTATAGTAGGATACTCAAACCATAAAAGGCAAGAGAAATACGGACTAAAAGATAAAGAAGGTTCTTCTGCTAGAACCTTCTTTTTGACAATTCATAACTTCCTTCAATGTTTTTTAGTATAAATGATAAGTGGCCTATCTTGTAGCCACAAGCCAGTAGTACAAAATGCATTAAAAGAATTCGGACAAAAAAGTTTGCGAAAGAGAGAAAAATTGAAATTTAAAATTTAGTTTTTTCAACATTTTTTCACTGTGCCTCAAAGTCCGGAATGTAGAATTTTCTGATTTTCTACGTACTGAACAGCTGGATGTTTTTGCAAAAACTGTTAATAAATGTCCTAGCCCTACGCTTACACAATTGAGCAAAGCTTCGGCGACTGACTTCCTCAGAAGAAAATTATGGGTCATAAAATGACCGCAATAGCTACCCATGTTTAGGCGCCGATATCTCAGTCTGGATAACTTCAAAGAATGCAGTTAAGTACGCATGATGTAGACAATTTCTTTTACATACAAGAGCTAAGTTTTCGAAGAAATCCCATTGATACGCGCTTAAATTCTGGCCGGAAAAGTGAATGCAATGAAATTCTGAATTTGGATGCGGTTATTTGAAGCTCAGTAACTTTACAAAAAATGATGATGAGAGCCCGTTTTAAGTAACGTTAGATAGAGCATGAAAACAGCATCGCGATGGTATACTACATCTATTGTAAAGAAGCAGAGTTGATGGGGAAAAGTTGCCCTGAAAAAGGCTTAGAAAATCGGCCATTTCTTTTGCACCAACCTAATAGATCTAGTAAAAAATCACTCAAAATAGTTGGTACTTTCTGTAATGCGAAATTTATTTTTCAGGAATAAGAGTGCCTTAAGCTTTTTGACTGATGTTATAACAGCATACACGTGACCGACCGTTATATACCATTGGTTGTGTACCGAATCTCTTGCACTGATAAATCTTGTCTAATGACATCAAAGGCTTTTTTTCGATTTTTAACAAGTGGGTTCAGAGGATAGTTCGTGTAGCTCACGTTCGGTATGACGAGGGGGCAGAAGGGGAGTTGGCACGAAAAGCTGGGATAAATTATTGCACGATTTGACGATTTGACTTTCTGCATGCTTATCAATAAATTTAAATTTAACACCATCAGACCCTAGTGGCTTTGGAAAACACTACGATTTGTTCGTTTGCAAGCAGAAAAATCTTTGCAGGCCCTATTTTTATCCCTCCTGCAAGTTGCCTGCTCTCATCCTCTTCCTTCCTCTCAAGCTCTCCCCCTCCCTCCTCTATCAATCCCTAGCAACCTCTTGATTGATAAACACGATCTGATATAAAAAGTCTATGGATTCAAAAGACCAAGGATGTAAAACGTTTGCCCCGCCCACCTCTTGCCGGGCATTTGTCTGGAATGCTGCCCGATGTGCGATCACTCTAGGAACTATAAGTCTGCTTCTCTTGTTGATAGTCGGTTTCATCGTTGATCCGAAAATACGAGGCTGAGACCTCTGCACTCCAGAAAATTCTAGCGTGACATCTTCTATTCTCTTTTACTTTTAACCATTTCGTTTAACACGTTGTTTTGGTCCCTCGCGATTCCGTTTGTTTTCTGATACAAATCACCATTCCTTCTTTTTTCACAGAATGACTGCGGGACCGACAGCTGGCAGAGACGTTAAACTGGTCCCAATCATTCCAGATGGAGGATGGGGTTGGGTAGTAGTACTTGGATCTTTTGCCGTACATGTTATAGCTGATGGATTTGTATATTCATTCGGTGTACTCGTTGATGTCCTTATGAAGGTGAGTTGCGATTTCTTTTGGCCATCTTGTTTTGATTTTTTACACTATTGTAACTCTCCTCATATGCGCTTACGTAGGGAAAACACACACCGCAAGTGGTGAAAATGAATTGAAAGATAACTTAGATGGGATCGAGTGTCCTGGTTACAAAAATTATATTCAATGGCTACGGTAATCTTCATGATGCATTAAGGGTTGAGGCTTACATTTTGCTACCTCAGCCTCAATAAGACAATACCGTAATCTTGGGCATGATATTAATAGTCAAGATGTCCTGATGAACCCCCTCATGCGAAGTTTCTGCCAATTCTCACATTTTTGTCCTTTACCGTATGCCCGCCTAACCAACATAATGATCAGGTTTCAGCATCACTTCCTTCAGAATAAGTTAGCGTCAACAAATTTGCAGATCCGAAAAAAGTAATTTCTGCGCCGATGTGCACCTAGCTCGGAAGATTTAAGTGCTGTACAGTCGCTAGAGGTTTATTTTCGGGGTTCATGGAGTATGTATAGTTATCTTGTCGCTCAGAGTTTGCGCTTCAGATCATTTTTCTATTTCGTCGTAGAGTATTGCTATCAAGCGATTGAGGCTGTAAAACTATCAACACTGAAAAGAGGTCACAAATGGGGAGATGTTGATATCAACCCCGCCGTATAAACAACTCTTAAAATACAGAGAAAAATGCATTAGTTCTTCACGAATTTACTGTGATAGTAAGAAAGGAAGAAAACGTTATCTCAAGGGTTCCTCCCGCGAGGACATTGTGTACGCGATCTCGTGTATAGAGATGCATGACTTGTGGCAGACGTCCGCATGGCAAATATCGGCGAAAAGTTCTTGACCCATAGGAAACAATGCGTACTTCTTATTTCCTCCAATGCGTACTTCTTATTTCCTCCAGGAAAATAGGAAAGTAGTATGCCAACAGAAGTATGGAGAAGACCTGTAGTATCTCACCGTATGCAGAGCCACTGCATTCAACGAAAAAGGCTTATATGAGTTGCAACAAGAGTTACATATTTTGAAGGCGCCTTCCACCAAAATTGGGGGTGATGAAATTGCTGTGCGATAGCGGGGCCCATAACTAAGCAATCGCCCAAGTCTAACTGCAAAAGATGAATTCCAAAGCGAAATAACCTTTCGAAGACAGAAGCGGAAACGCTGGCTCCGCCCATCAACGTGGGTGGTCTGAAGACAACAAGTCCAAGTGAGCTTTTTAGTGAACAGAAAGGTTACAAATTTGATGATCATAATGAGAGCGGATCTATGACAATGCTGAATACGATCTCTTTGGACTTGCTTTCTCCAGATCGACCATGTTGGTGGGCGCGGCCGCTTCTACCTACTGGAGCAATTTTTTCGCTTTGGAAATCATTTTTTTGCAGCGAGACATGGGCGGTTGCGTAATTAAAAGTCCCGCTATTATAAAGCATCAAAACCTCATTACTCAAATTTGGTTGGACGGTACTTTTAGCCTTAGCGTTCTCCAACTACATATTCTTGAAAGCCACTTCATAGCGTCTTCTGCACTTGGATTTAATTAGCTAGATATTTTCTGTCCGGGCGATAGTTTGTCATATATATGGCGATCAAAATATTGTATACTTCTAAAACAACGGATTAATCAGTTTGGCGGAAGATTGGGTGCTGTTTCAGTCCATTAGCCATAGACTTGAGGGGCTATACGATTGACTCGATGCGACCAACCATCTTCAATTTTTCTTTGCAGGAATTCGATTCGGACAACACTATGGCTTCTTTCATCATATCGCTGTTAACCGGTCTCACCTTAGGATCTGGACCTTTAGCATCTGCTATTTGTAATAAATATGGATGCCGGACGACCACAATCATCGGCGCAGGCATCGCTTTTGTAGGGTAGGTGATTTTACAGGAAAATGTTTTCATGGAATTTTTACTAAATTTTATAGATGTGCCGTAGCGTCATTTGCCACAGCCATGTGGCATATAGTTGCCTCTGTAGGAATTGTAATGGGTATAGGCTTTGGTCTTATGTACTGTCCAGCTATCGTTATAGTAACAATGTACTTTGAAAAGTAAGTGATTTCAGCGGTCCCTGATCTAACTTATTAATGTATTTATTTTAGACGACGATCTTTAGCAACTGGAATCGCAGTCTCTGGTGCTGGAGTTGGCACAGTATTATTCTCACCGATAAACGATTTTATTATTAGTCATTTTGGTTGGAGAGCGGTTTTCTACTCCTTTTTAGGTACATATGCTTTTTGAAGGGGCGGTGTATAGTAAATTTGGATATCTACATTCTTCATGAAAACTGATTTGAGACCTTATTCAAGCCATTGCCCAAGCGACAACTCATGTGACCTATTCGTGGCCCACAAATTCGACTTGAAATCTTACCCCAACCGTACTTTCTACCGTACTCGGCTACGCTGATTGGCTTGCCAGAGAGTAGGGTCTGGGAAACCTTGAAGTCGGCTCGCCACGAATGGGCTGTAAGAGCTGCTACTTGGGCAATTCTCTTTGCTTGGACACTGCCTCTAAATTCTATAATTATGAAAAGCAATAAAGAAAATACAGGGTGTCCCAAAAAAATGTTAACACTATTTGATCGTTAATAACTCCCTTGATTTCATGTCTTTCGACGAACTTGAGGCACCATTCTGTAGAGATAGGTTCAACTTAGATTTACAGTATGGAACGAATCACCGCTCTATCTTCATTACTGTAGGACTACGGTGAGAAATTGCAGCATGTGGAACCGTCGTGAAGTATGCCCTCTGACAAACTTTTTTCAAAAAATCTGGAAAATCATGTACTAGGGTTTTCGCGCACGCTGATTTTACTAAACAACTTTTTACGAGTGTTTTCAGCGTTTTTGACGGTGTAATCATATTTTTGACGCATGCTGGGAAGTCATTTATTACACTTTACCTAGGATAACTTTGAAAAGAAATATCATAATAAAGTGGGAATTACATATCCGAAATCTTTCGAAGCAGAAAATGGCCTTCAATGGCATAAAATCCTTGTCAAACTTCCTACCGTAATTCTACAATAAAGAGGAGAGTTAGGTGATTCGCTCCATACTGTAAATCTAAGTCTATCCTCGCTCTACAAAACGGTACCTAAAGCTTGGCAAAAGGCTTGAAAGCATGGGAGTTATTAACGATCAAACAGTGTTAACATTTTTTTGGGACACCCTGTATATGGGCCATCTCCTAATAAATGGTAGCTTTTTTCTTTGAAAATCAATATAGTTCACATAAAGACCGTTCTTTTTCTTATGGCAGTGTTGCAGGAATCCTTTCGATCTGCGTCTTAGCCGGTGCGTCATTCCGCCCTCTTCCATTTAGAGAAGTTGATGATGAGGACGAGGTTGAGCGCAAACAAACCCCCAAGAAGCCCAAAGCAGGAAAAGCTGAAGTATGTCTGCTGACCATTAATGTTGTTGCTGATATATCATCTTTCTTCTAGGAAAGCGCTTCATTGCTCACAGATGAAAAAAGCGCTAGCCCTCATGAAATTATAAAACAAGCCAGATCATTGACAGAAATCTCACCAGTCGAAGATGGAGGTAGTCAATAAATTAGAGAAATCTAGTGTGTTTCCTAAATGATTTTGTTTATTTTAGATGTGATGGCGCGTAAACGATGTGAAACTGTAGGCGAAAGGGAAGTAGGATATTTGAACAAGAAAGATGTCTTCTATACCGGATCAATAACGAATGTGGCCGAATTCAATGAAAATCCGGACAAATGCAGGTATTAAATTTTGTACTATACATTACTGAAAAAACTGCTAATGCTCAAGGATTTAACGCTAAAAGAGAAATGGCCATTGTTGATCAGAACTGAAGTATATAGTAGGGGTTCTCCACGTTCGACTTTCAGTGAATCTTGGCATTACGATATGCTTGTTTCTAGATGTGAAGCCTCCACCAAGATTGTTACAACTTTTATTTCGGCTGACGTTTCGGCCAACTCGCCTTCGTCGAAGCCTGTAAGTGAGGAACAAATGAGATTTATCCTCCCAAACGTCTCATCAAATGCAAGGAACAGACAAAAGGTCATGGAATCCTTTGATGTGACCTCCCTTTACACAAATGTACCAAATTCTGCTGCGTTGCAAGCTGTATTTGAGTTGCTGAGCGAACACACCAACAACATCAGCTTATATGGTCTTACAGTCCAGCAGATCATGACGTTACTAAAGGGATGCCTAGACTGCTCTATATTCCGCTGGTCGGGGCAGTATTTCCGTCAGGTAAGGGGTCTTGCTATGGGACAGCGTCTGGCGCCTGTATTAGCTGTGACTTTTATGTCTAAAGTAGAATACCCCGTTCTATGCCGCAAACCTATTCTTTACTTACGGTACATCGATGATTGCCTCATCGTATGTCCGACGCAGGCAGAGATGGATACCTGCTTTGATCTGCTCAATAGGCAATCAGCTGACATAAAATTCACTCGGGAAAAACCAAAAGAAAACTGGCTTCCTTTCCTTAACGTTCAGCTATGCTTAAGCAGAGGAGAATGCAAGACCAAGTGGTATAGGAAGCCAAGCAGCAAAAACATTCTTGTGCACTATTCTTCCGCGCACCCTATCCGCACTAAGCATAGCGTTATTAGGAACATGCTGCATACAGCTAGAACAGTGTCGTCTGACGATACCCTCAAAGCCGCATCAGTCCAAAAAGCCCTTCAAATAGCGCAAGCTAACGGATATCCATATACCAGAGGTGTTATGGTACGTCACAGCGGTAGACTGCACAACGAAGCCCAAGATAACAAGGTGCCATTCTGTATCCCGTTCATTTCGGACGCTTTGAGTAGTGCAATAAGAGCGTGCGTGTGCAAAGCAGGTCTGCAGGAGTCATTGCGAGTTGTAGAATTGCCACCCCAAAACTTGAAACAGCGCTTGGTACGCAACAGAGCATACGATACGGCCTGCGTAACACCAGACTGCATAATTTGCAAAACGAGCAGGCCGGGAGACTGTATGCGCTCAGGCGTTATCTACCTCATAACCTGTAAATTGTGCGGGCACGAGTACATTGGAGAAACGGGGGGCCACTGTGCACTAGGATGAAGGAGCACATGGATGGGATGCGCAAGTCAGAAGTATTCACACCATTAGGCACTCATCGGATGCTGCAGCATAATGGTACAGAATTTGATATTACAGTGTCAATTCTGTCGCGAGAAGCAGAGGTCGCGGGGCGCAAGACGCTAGAAGCCTGTTGGATTTTGTCCAGAAATCCTCAAATGAACAGGAAAGATGAATGCACTGCAATAACTAACGAACTCGCGCCCTTCCTGGAGTTATGCGGGTTTGACCCACAACCGCAACAACCCGGGAACCTAGCTCACTAATCATTCATACGTTCGTCAGTGGTGGTCCGTGACCCGCACTCGGCAAAAGTCTCAGGTGGGGCTGTTAATCCTAGGCAGCATCGTTTCCGTTTCCAGCCAACTTTTGTCTGTTCCTTGCATTTGATGAGACGTTTGGGAGGATGAATCCCATTTGTTCCTCACTTACAGGCTCCGACGAAGGCGAGTTGGCCGAAACGTCAGCCGAAATAAAAGTTGTAACAATCTTGGTGGAGGCTTAACATCTAGAAACAAGCATATAGTAGGGGTTGTTGAGCTTAGGAACATGTAGGCAGCCGAAAAAATTTTCTATTTAGCTATTACTATAAAAAAACTCCTTTGTATAGGAAAAAAATTTTTGGCGTACGAAGTGCTCTTCTTGTGAAGCTTACAAGGATATTTGTACCACGTCTCAAACACTATATGTATGCAGATATGTTCCCTTTGATGGATGATCTAGAGAATATTCATTAACAATTGTAGTTTTAGTTGAATAATCTTTGTGTAGTAGTAAAAGCTTTTCAGAGGTGCAAAATAATTTTTATCTTTAGTCGGTGTTAGTAGGGTTCGCGAGGTTACGATAGTGTACGGTTCGATGAAAATCTCGGAAGTTGCGGATTGTATAGGAAGAGGGGGAGAGGTGCTGACCAAGTAGGGGACGTAGGGAGGGGGCGTATATACAAAAAAAATGCAAAAAAATTTTTCGGGGCGCAGCTGCCAAATTTGTGGCGATGCCGGCTTTTCTTAAAATTTTTAGGTTAGGGGACAAAAAATTCAAAAAGCATCCCAAACATTTTTCCGGAGGGAGTGGCTGACGTCTCGCGTTTATTTGAAAAAAAATGTTTGTCCCCATTTCCCTCTCCGAACACATGGAACTGGGAAGAGAAATCTGACATAATGAACCCGAACAATCATACATTCTTCAAGTTAACCCCTTATTCCGCCAAGAGATGCCAGACCGTGCATACATCGTTGCTTTACTTGCATTATCGTAATTGCACCAAAAGATTCCCTACAGATTCGCTAATTGTGAGCAGTTTAAGCGTCTGTTAACTTCGCTTTACCAAATTCTAGAAGAAGCTGTGGTTTTGACTTCCTATTGTACATTACCGTTACCGCCGTACACTTACCGTAACCTATACAAAAGAGCCATGTTGCATGGGTTCGGTGCGCTATTCGTCTTTATATAAGTAGCCACCCGCAGTTCAGGTTCAAATAAAATTGCCGGCTTGTTTGGATTCCCATACATCGAATAGCACCGTTAGAAATGGTTAGTTCCATTGAATTGATCCCTTATAGATCGACCGGATCTCTTCATGTACGAAATCTGAGCGCCACATCTGTCGATAAACTTCACGAAGTACGAGATGTGAGTGAAGAAGTCTCCAAGAGCAGCACACCAGATGCGGAAGGCGGCAATATGTTCAAGTGAGCTGGGGCTTCGTTGACCGATCGTGAAGTTACATCTTATTACAGGACCATAGGCAGAATGCTTTCCTTGTCGTTGCTTATCGACCCTACTTTCCTAATTTTTGCCATCTCAAATTTACTTACATCCGTTGGATTCAACTCTCCATTGTACTTCCTGCCACTGCACGCCACAAGAGGGGTAGGACTCGATGCGACAAGCGCTTCACGAGTTCTTTCTGTATTTGGTATGTCAGTTAGTGAATAAAATTATAACATTTTCTCTGTAGCCATTTTATAAAAATACTTTGCAGAATTCACTGCTTCTAAAAAAATGCTTCTATAAATCAAAGTCTTTTTGCATTACAGGACTGTGTAACACAGCTGGTAGGGTTGTGTTCGGAGTCGTTGCTGACCACAAACTTCCTTTGCCTTATGGACTCGGCAATGATACGGCCAGGAATAGGTTGTGGATCTATAACATATCGCTTGCGGTAAGAATTTAAACGCCTACTAGTGCTTCATTGTTGAATTCTCATGAGATTATCTTCTTCCTTCCAAAGAGTGGCGAGAGGATTCATGATGAGAGAAGATCCAAAATTTACAAATTTTGCACTTCATTCGTATCTCCCATAACCGGACAATTCTCCGGACCACATTTTGAGTGAATATTCTGCTACAGCTTTTTTTTGAGCGAGTACTGTAGAATCAGCGTGCGACCAATAGCAACACAGCTCGTGCCATGGGCTACCGTAGTATCCCCCCCCCCCAGGCGCACCTCTTAACTATCGCTCAAGCCATTCAACTCATTTTGTTTTTGCATTCAAGTTTGGAAGAGTTAGAATAAAAAGCTTTGAGCGAAATGCTGATCGAAAATTTTCTCGACTTATGTGTTGTGCCCAGTAGGCTAGTTTCGTTAACACGTTGACGACGAGCCATTTTTTTGCGTCTGTCCCTGTGGACGAGACGTTTCCATGCATCCCTACGCGTGGCCCATGTATGTATGCATGCATCCATGCACGAAGTACAAAATGTGCAAGCCCCGCCCCTTCTGGCAAGCTCCGCCCACTCGACCAGAAATGTCAAAAATTGCCCAGATTTCAAGAATTTATGCGATTTCCGCCACTTTTGAAAAGTGGGCGGAGCTTGCCACTCAGGGGCGGAGCTGGATGACGTTGGGCGGGGCCTGGTTAGAAGTTGCTTGAAGTCTTTGCGTTCATCTACAGCCTCATTCATGTTTTTTGTGGACAAAAAGGATCCTTGTGAGAGGCATAAAAGTGGGCGGAGTTTGCCAAAAGGGGCGGAGCTAATACATGAAGTACATCTGAGCCTATTTTGATTATATGAACAAAAACTGAGAGGATTGGACAGATAGTATTGAATTTAAGGCCGCCGCGCACCATTGCGCGGCACTGTCGTCAACGTGTTAAAGAAAATGCAATCATTGGTTTTTTACTCGTACCATCGCATAAGATTTTCAGATATGCGGCGTCCTAACAGCTTTCTGCTATCTCTTCACCAGCTTCATCTCCCTTTCGGTATACGCTGGACTGTTTGGTTTCACAATCTCGTCCTACATTTGCCTCACAAGTGTCATCCTAGTCGATCTTCTTGGATTGGACAAACTCACCAACGCCTTCGGACTGCTCCTTCTGTGGCAGGTACATAATACGATCCACAATTGTAAATTGTCTTCGCTTACTTCATATACGTTTTAGGGAGTTGGTACTGTCTTCGGCCCTCCCATTGCCGGATATCTGGCTGACATGACCAACACATACATATGGTCATTCGTGTTCTGCGGAGTAAATCTGTTGGTAAGTAGATACGCATAATAACATCCTTTTAGAACAACAATACCTATAATAGCAAAGAGAAATACACAGCGAACACGATACTTTTTCTTTTTCGGGGTTAGATTCAGCTGACCCACATTCAGCTCCCACATACATTTTTAATCTTGAAAAATAGTTTTTGCAGTTGGCATAACTTACAACACTCTCATTGAAGCCTAAATCAAAGAAAGTGCCTCAAAGCTTTTGAGTGGGGACTGGTGAAGAATTGGTTCAAATACCATTCCCCTCCGTGGTTTTTCTTACTAGTATTCAAGACCGTCAAATGGAAAAATAGCTTTGAATAAAATTCTCCAAATTTTTTTGCAAATGTTTGGATGATAAGAATGCAATGATCAAATAACGACTTAGTAGGTGAGCTTCTCCAACAGAAAGTATACCTTGGGAAGAAGAGAAATGGTGGAGTCCGGGTCTCTAATATAAATCTGGTAGTGGTATAGAATTATGATCATGCACAGGAATTTGCTGGTTAATGGGAAGCATTTTCCTTATTTTCCAAGTTGTAAAATACTGTTTGCAGATATCTGGTCTGATGTTGTTCGGCATACCATACTTCCAAAAAAAGGAAAAGAGGCGAGCTGAAAGACGCCAACAACCCAAGAAAATTGAGCAACAAGAGTTGGTCAGAAAAGCCTAATCTCACTTTTTACTAATTTATCTTCGCAATAAGTGTACCTGAATTCGACTAGAGCATCCTGCTCGTTTTAACAAATGTTAGCAGCCAGTCGCTTGTTGATCTAATTATTTTTTATTTTTTCCTTTGCCAAATCAAAATTAACACTTCACCACTCTATGCCTTTTCATCTTCTAGCTCTTGGTCGATGTGTGCCAAATTGTTGATTTTGATAGAGTTTGCCTTTCTGTAGTTTTCTTCAGTTCTTTCTCTGTGATACACTCACTAGCAGCGCGGTTCTAATCGCATTTACAGTTACTGAGAGGAAGTGCTGCTCGACATATCTCTCGTCTGTGTTTTCTCTTTGTTAGGAACTGCTGTTGTCGGTCACTTCCTTTCACTGCACTTTACTTTTCGAGTAATTCGTGGGTGTTGTTTGTTTTACTTGCTTCCTTCAGTCTACCATGTTGATACGATGTGCTGTCTATCGGACCTGTATACAGTGTATCAGTCGGGTGCTCGCCCATGAAGGCTAATTGTCTATGTTATATATTTCGTCCACGTTCGTACAAATAAAGCTATAAGCCCATATTTCACACAAAGTTATTCATTGACTGTGATGTAAATTTAATATTTGCGAAACTCGACGGAAAGAGTGTTGTCAAAAGATGAACAGAAAATCTCTAGATTTTTTTCTGAAAGAGACGTTTGCGCTTACATAAAATTTGATTCACTTGGTTTCTTTCTCGTGATAAATGGTGGATTGTCTCAAAAGTTGTGTCCGCTTTCTCGAACGACTACAAAAACCTCGCACAATTGAGAAAAACTCCTATTATGGTGCAATACAGCACTGAATTTTGTTCCGGTCATAATATGAGCAATCATCACAATTTAGCGCAAGCTCCCACTACAGCCCATCGAAATCGAAATGGGAGCGAAAACTCAAATCCCAAATCGAAAATGTTTCAATGTATACGGGCCTGTATACGCGATTAAGTTGTTCTCATGCAAAACACGCACGTATAAAAAGACAAAAAGTCTTAGCACTTTATTAAACTCAGATGTGGTATGCCTCAGGTTCAATACACGATAATCACATATCGAAATATATTACGGAAGATCTGTAATATACTATGGGCGCTTGTACCAGCTCAGACAAATCACCGGAACTTCCGCAGGACAAGCCAAATTTGCAGAAGTTCCGCAGGATTTTGTTCACTGTTGCAAAATGAAAACGTTGAAAATCGGAACTTCCGCGGGATTTTCATGCCAAACTGGTTGAAAACCGGAACTTCCGCAGAACCTTCTTCAAAATCCTGCGGCAGTTCCGAAAAATGCCAGAGGTTCCGCAGCACTTTGGCCTGCCAGAATTTCCGCAGGACTTTGATGTGTTGCCTCGTGATGCTGCCTCGCTAACAACTAGAGTGCATTATCGAACATGTCAGCCCGTAGCGTAAAGGATAGTAGGTGGGTCTCAAAGTCAATAGAGTGAGGTTCAGATCTCGCTTCGGTGTTCTCTTTTGCTGTTGTGGTTGGCATTCTTCGGAACTTCCGCAGAACCTGATTTCGGAACTTCCGCAGCACGTTTACGGAACTTCCGCAGGTGACGCGGAACTTCCGCAAGCGCCTGCGGAAGTTCCGGTCATTTGTCTGAGAGGTTGCTGCATAAGTTCTTCCGATTTTTGTCTTATGTTTAAAGCCAATATTCTGAGAAAGTTTCATATTTAATGCGGTGCTGTTTACATCATTAGGAAGCTCTTTTCTTGGTAATAGTATCAAATTTGAATATTTCAAAATTTGCTTCAAATTCAGAATTTGAAATTTAAAAAAATTTGATTTCAAATCAAATTTACCAGTCTAACGAGATTGCAGGTCTAAGATCTTCAAGCGGCCGAGATGCATTCTCACCCAAGAGATGAGTTCTTGCAAAAAAAATTCCCACGATGCGCCTTCAAGTCAAGTCCTTTCATTGGTTGCCGAATAAGCGTGTAACGGGCTGGTACATGCAAAGCTCAATTCCATGAAGAAAACGTCTTGTTTGCAAAATTTGTTGTCGAACATTAATTTTTTGTATGAACGTTTTAAAAGCAATAACGTTCTGCGAGTAGAGGCAGTCGATGAGTTCAAAGTTGGAGGTGCTAGTATAAAGCGAGAGCTAGTGGGACCACCCACCAAGTCCTTCTCACCGCTCGCGTGAAGTGTAAAACTTTCACAATTCGTAAATAGGCATGCACACATACTAAGCTGAAGCAAGGTAGAAAGCGGCTTCTTTTTTGTTCGGTCAAGAAAATCTCTCGGCACCGAGAACCCTGTGGGCTCTATAAGGTTGCAAAACAATCTACGAAAATCTTTATATCTATTCATGGTTAACTAATATGCCTGTCAGTTCTCATAACGGAACATTGTCATGTCAAAAAAGACAAGTTCGAAGAAGAATGCTATGAAGTTTTGAGTTTTCGCTTCTTCTTTGACAGGGTTTTGCGCAAGTCCTAATATTTCTCTGATAGCGAAGAGCTATTCAACAAATCAAAACTAAGAACACGGAAAAAACTTGACTTGCAAAGAAGTTATGACATTTTGAATTCGAAATTTCAGATCGGATCAAGGTTATGCAGCGGCCTGATATGAAATTTTAACTCATCCCAATAACAACGAGTTTACTTCCAAAATGCCCAAATTCCGAGCATCATCTTAAAGTTCTGGGGAAAGCCGATGACCTTACATCTTAACTAAGAAACAGCAAGAATTTCGAGTATTTTATCTTTTGTGTTTTGAATATGAAGCAATAGTTGAGCAAATAAGATCTGTGGTCCATATAAGTAAATCTTCTCTTCTTTCACGAATCAGCCAGAGATGATCTTTCAGTTGCGTCGTCCTTCTGTATTATATAAATAACATCAAAAGGAAACCATTCTTTTGACACACCTCTTTGCTTCCTTCTAGAGACATTACAACAACCTTAGCCTGTGCAGGACGCTTCTTTGCCTTGTTCTGTCCCTTGACCTCGTCCAAGAAATGTACCTGAATGACTAGCGAGTCGATTCAGAGTTATTCTGGGTAAAAAAAGAACTACCTTTAGTCGAGCCCTTTTACTATGTTGTTTTCGTTTATTGGGTTTCGTTAGATTGCTGCGAGGCACCACTTGTCTACAAGATGTTGAGCTATGATATCAATAAGAATTGTCGCCTTCACGTACTGTTGCGCTTTGCCAAGTGGTACAATGATTACATCTGTGTGATCTGAACTCGATCCAAGCTTTTTGCTCCCTGGTTGCACTACTATCCTCCTTCTTGCTGTGATAAATTTCAACGAATCTACTCTAGAAGATGATGGAAATCGCTTGCATAGAATAGTTGCTTTTTAGCGTAAAAAAACCCCAAAGTCTGCTTTGTAGGCGATGCTGAGTTTTCGCGATTGTTTTGCGTAATGACTGCTCAACCATATGGCGAGTTTGTGTGGCTTGTTTCGCTGTACACCGGGATTGATAGATCCTTTATTTGACTAACGTTTCGGCGGTATCGACTTCTTCAGAGTCTGAAATTGTCGAATGCATAAGTGAACTATCCGATTAAAAACCACAAGACTCAGGAAGACGCCCAATGCGTCAGTAAAACAAGAACTCGAAAGTGAATGCAGGATAAACTAATGCTTACCTAAACAGATGCCGACAAAGTGGTGTTGCAGACCACTATACCAGTAACCAAGCTCTAACTTTCTTATGTGCCTAGTGGGCTGGCCTCAACTTGACCTCAGAAGCCGCAAAGGCCCTGATAAGGCGCCAACTCATTAGTGATGTCTATGCACTCATCTTTTCAATTCAAATTTGGATTTTTGGCGGTAATCCAAAACGCCTCTAAAATCTTGCGCGCTAGAATTTCGGATTCATACGCTAAGATCGTGACCTCCACCCGTATGTCTGTCATTACCACTGCTACTCTACTGGGCAAGCATCGCATACAGTTCCATAATGACGCAGACATACGGGTGGAGGTCACGATCTTAGCGTATGAATCCGAAATCTTAGCGCGCAAGATTTTAGAGGCGTTTTGGATTACCCGCCAAAAATCCAAATTTGAATTGAAAAGATGAGTGCATAGACATCACTAATGAGTTGGCGCCTTATCAGGGCCTTTGCGGCTTCTGAGGTCAAGTTGAGGCCAGCCCACTAGGTACATAAGAAAGTTAGAGCTTGGTTACTGGTATAGTGGTCTGCAACACCACTTTGTCGGCATCTGTTTAGGTAAGCATTAGTTTATCCTGCATTCACTTTCGAGTTCTTGTTTTACTGACGCATTGGGCGTCTTCCCGAGTCTTGTGGTTTTTAATCGGATAGTTATTCGACAATTTCAGACTCTGAAGAAGTCGATACCGTCGAAACGTTAGTCAAATGAAGGATCTACCAATCCCGGTGTACAGCAAAACAAGCCACACAAGCATCTACAACATGCCGAGATTAAACGACAGTCGAACTTGGCCATATGGCGAGTGTTTGTACACTACCAAAATCAAACTGCCAGACACTAGTGTTTGACTATGCACATGTAGGTAGGCCTATTGCCGAATGAAGGCAGCGATAGCTCACATGGAAGCGATTCGGTCGGAATCGCGCTCTTAAGTACTCCTTACGTCCCACTCAGACAATTAAGGCGAGCACCCGCCGATCATCCACTGACGTCACGCCCACCCAAGGGTACGCCGGTAAGTGCCCATAAGCGCCGAACAATACCCGAAGGGCCGTCAAGAACCCGATTAATGCGTGATATGCACTAGCAGGTGGCTCGATGCGCACCCACTGAGTATTTTAAGCCCATATATTTCGATTTCGCATTTCAAAAGTTTGAATACCTGTTTCAATCCCTTAAGCCTGGCATAAAGATCGCGTTCTACCCAGAAAGTTATCGTGACGTCTGAACCACGTCAGCAAAGTTCCCGACGTTCTATCTGGGGAGGTATGCAACAATCGCCCGTCCGGGTAAGTTACCCGGACGGGCGATTATTGCACACCGCCCCTGGTTTGGTTGCAGAATAGGTACTTCGATCGTGGTTATCTGATATCAAAGAAAACCTGACTTTACTTGACTTCTATCCAAAGCGCGAGTAAAGTTGCTCTTTACAGAAGTAGAATTGTGGCTTCCACCAAAGCCAGGGACTCGCCAGGGTATTCTGTCGAAATACGGCCCAAAAAAGCCGGGGTTTACCCAAGAATAAGGGGCATGGTGCCTGTTAAATTCTACGGCTTTGCCGAAAAAGGTAACGGCGACCGATAGGGGCCGGGCTTGCTTGTGATGCAAAAATTCTGTTAAGGCCCGCGGCTGAATGGAGAAAACTATATTCGCAGTGCGTCTAGTAAGGCGCGGGGCTCGCCGAGTTTTTATTCTTTAGCCGCGAGTATTCCGATAGAACATTTAGGGCTGGCGGCCTCCCCTGGCAATAACATTGAGCTTCGAGTCGCCACATATTGATAAGGGCTGCCGTTGGACAATCCAAGAATATAGGATCTGCGCATTACCAAAATGCAGGGTTAGAGGCTGCTGATGCTGGCGATTAAGCATCGCTCTTTGGCGATAGAGTCTTATCGCGCCTTTAAATCCACGTTCATCCTGCAGTAGACGCTCATAAAACTTACGCTCTTATATCCTCTCTTTGCGTTGGTTCCACTTCTTCTACACTGCTCAATTGTCGTTGTGAACTCACACTTCGTGCCTACGATGTTTGCAGCTAACTCGAACAAGTGATAGTTTAGAGTCGTCCATACCGAAGTTCCAGCAGTATTTCGTTCTCGGAAAGATCTTCTACTGTCTTTTCTGCTGTTGCACGCAACCAAAGTGAGTGGGATAAAAGAGGAGATTGAAGCAATCACTCCTGTGATTAGGCAGTGCATAGGAAGTGAGTATCCACGACCACTCTGCGTGGTATCTAAAAGCAATTGAAACTGCCGTTACAATGTAATATCCAGCATTTCCAGCCTAGTCTTTATGTTTATGCTTTGTATTTGCTATTGCAGATGCGGGTGAGGTTTGCCAGATTCAACACATTGCAACTTCGCACGGTTCCCTTTAGGTTTAGAGTAAGCAAAAATGTTTCAGCTTGTTTTTGCGTCTTCGTTAGTTAGCTAGAGAAGCAATTCTTTAAAAAGAGCTCTATCAAGCTTATCAGCATTATCTGGAAGTCTGCATTGCTTCACCTCTTTTTTTTGTAGATGGGAAAGGACGGCAAGCCGATGCGGATTTTCTCCAAGCTGTTCAAGCGCGATACTCCTGTAATCACGAAATATCTATGGTGGACCACTTCTTATTAAGCTGGAAAGAAAGTTCCGGGGTACTTTTGGAAATTTCATTTTCTGACGGATTTTTCTGGCGTTCGGTCGGACTTTCACGACAAGTTTTTCTACTTGTTAGTAGAGAAATTGTGAGATTTTAGAATCTTCTTCCAATTCTTATCGATGTCATACAGTGCAATCATATAATCACTTTTCTTCTTGCTGCCATTTTTTGTGCTTTTCAAAAAATTTCGTCCAAATCATAGGTGATTTGAATGAGGAGCTGTCAACTTCTAACCCGCAGCTGCATTCGAGTATTGCATCTTGCGCTCTGGAATTACGAGCTGACAAACTTGTTTCTGACTGCAGCTCTTTTCGCATCTCGCGTCGCTTCTGCGGGGATCGCCACGCCTGGCTGTAGTTTTAAAGGACATGTAAGGCGTTAATCTAATACTGTTCGCATTAATCAAAGATTTGGCCCTTCCTATACAGAACAAGAAGATTTCGAAGTCATTTACTCACAATAAGGTGCATTTTTGAGGGCAAAAAGTGGTCGATTGTTGGAACGCTCTGTGAAAACGTTTTTGCAGTTGGTCTCTAAGAGCATGAATGGTCCTCACAGCCCCAGCACACTTCTAAATAACCACAGCATCTCGGCTATCCAGCTCTCACCTTGCATGAGCTGAAAACAAACACGCTACTTTTCGCGTGGACCTTTTCATGTGGTGCTGAGAAGTCAACAAGACAAATATATGTTGTAGACAAAATTGCAAATGTAGACAAAATTGTAAATGTGTAGCTTTGAGAAAAGATCAATCTGTATGAAGTTACAGCGATTCGAAAAAATTCTCGCAAGTGCCCCGAGACTCTCTTTACAACTTATTACAAGGGAAAGTACCTTAGGCTGCCTTTCAAATAAAACTGAGTAACGAAATTTGCTTAGAACGCTGACAAAAGCTTCTAGCTGCGGCGCATTATTAAACGAGTTATGAACTTTTGCATGCGAAGCAGGCATATTAGATAGAAGGATTGTCTGTGGATTCCCAAGAAAGGTGCTGGGATATCATGGAACATCGGATCCATCTTTTGACATTAAGAAGGGACTTGAGCAGTATATTAGCGTTTACGATTAAAGGATACTGAGTCGCATTGACATCTAGTAATGAGATGTACATCATTATGGTTATTGAGGCACTAATAACATAACGGCCTTTCATATCTGCTAAGCAGTACTGTGAAAGGATTACAAAAAAGTGTTCTACGGAGTTTCCCCTTCTACTGCAGTACGAGTAATCAAGTATCATTACCGCGGCAAAAATGTGTTTCGAAACGCAGTCATAACAACTAGCGTCATAACGTGGCTAGTATTTAAAAAGAAAAGAAATCCTTACATATTAATAAACTCTTACCTGAAGAGGTTTCTGGTCTGAGAATCCAGGATGGGAAAGCCGTGGACGTGTGTGCAATGACACACATGTTCATATGAAATGACTGAGCACATGGAAAATTCCGTTTTTTTTTGTCTCTACCTAGAACAAAATACAGCGACGGCATACATGAATGTCTAAGTGGAAATGTATGCTTGGGAGAGTGAAAGACCCAGCAAGGATTTTTGAACGTTGGATATGAATTTGGGCGTTCCTGAACGAAGATTAATTTTCTGCAATTTTATGGGCATCCAAAACTTCTAAGATTTCGGCTTTGATAGAAGTGTACTGGAGCTAGTGCAAACGCTTACATGACATCTTGTAGAACTTGCTTTGCTTTATGGTATTTTGCATTCTGATTATTTCTGGGAAATGTGTGGCTTATTGCTTTGATAATTATTGGAAAAACGTATGAGACAACCTTGAACATATGCCCTGTATACAGCGCAAGGCCATGTCATACGTATGAATGTAGAAATGTGGGATCGAAATAAGCGAATTTCCAATGTTACCCTGTGCGGAAATCCCTGAACTTACGTTTTGGAGTCGCTTGTATCCTATGGTAACGCCAGCACAACCCCGTTGTGTTCGCGCATACATAAATGAAGGTTGAATTTAAACCTGGCGTAGGCTCGCAAAGGACAACAGTCTGTTTCGAAGAAAGGTTTGTTTCTTGAGTCTTGCCTGGCTTCTTTGTTTTGGAGTAGACCATTAAAAAGAGCTTGATTTTATGATATCGCGTCCCAACTCGGTATGCGCACATGGGCACATTTTTGCGTCACTAATCATTAATATTGTTTGTAAGGAGGTTGTGGATCGTATTGATTGTAGTCTTGATTTCTTCTAAAGCTCCAAAGGCATTTTCGGCTTTTAGGAATACGCTATGATTACAGAAGTTGCTGAGGTTGCCGATGTTGCCGGTCGTTCTGCGTGTTAGCTCTCTAAGACTGGGTTCATAGTGTTCCGGAACTGTCTGCATGAACGCGAATCAGCACTTTTTGACTTTCTTGATCGGTTTTGATCGTATATCCTACCCGTTTTCGTCTCTTTGCACCTTGCTTCTTCTAAAGAAGTGAACTTCGAAATAAAGCGAGTTTCGAGAATGAAGTTTTTCCATGTTTTGTCGTGCGTGCAAGATGTGTTTTCCTTCGCGCATCCCTTCCCCTTGGTGAATTTTCTGCAAACATTCTTTATGTAATTCAGAATGTGGCTGCGTCTTTGATATCACGAGCTGTCTTCAAGGACTGATACTATTATAACTTTTGCGGAGATCACAAATTTCTCTCCTGTTTTGATGAGATTTCGGTTTTTGTTCAGCCCTATTTTTTCACAGCTCATGCTGCTTGCTTGTTCATTTGTGATTGCCGTTCCGTTCCTGATGAAAGACTTCCAGCTTGGAGAAGTGTACACGGATGGAAGCAGTATCAGGTTGTGACAGCTTTTCAGCCTGACGTACATAACGGAATAGCACTCATTCTTGTATCCCTCTCCAAGTTTGGAACTTTTTCATCTCAAGAGCAAGCGAGATATAATAAGGCGAAAGTGAGAAAAATGATTATAAAAATCGTTGAAGGAAGTCAAAAATTGCTACTTCGCGCTACTCAAAACCTCATGCGGGCGGCTCAGTCCCGGAATAGTTCTAGCACAGTGCGAGAACTGTGCTAGAACTGTTCGAATTTCCGGACCAGTATGAACTCAGCCTAAGCGGTAGCCCCAAAAACCTCGGCAGCCCCGGCCCCGGTAACTTTAAACCTCGATAACCCTGGTAATTTGCCAATCTATGGCCAATTTCCCTTGTTGTTTTCAGGAACTCTTTGAATTCTGCATTCTGGCTGGGTTCCTATGGCTAATTTGCCTAATTTGCGTCAAACAAGCCTTAGGAAATGGTGAAGAAGAATATGAAATATGACTGCCTGTTTCAGAAAGTACACTTAAAATCAAATGCCAGTTTACATTCAGAGAAGCGAATGTGGAAGCATACAACGGCCGCCATCACATTAGGTAGTCATATGATTCATTTGGTGTGAACTGAATGACATCTTGAGGTGTTTCCTGGTCAACGGTAGTGATCTAGTGTATCGGATGGGTATAGAAAAGTCTAAGCTTGCCAATTACTCCGATCATTGCGTAAAAAGGTAAGGTAACGACAAAATTGGTCAGCCTTGGCCATTAGAAAGAGTCCAACCAGCCTTGCCTGCATTTCGCAGTTGAGCAAGTATGCTTGCTTGAGAATTTTTCTGGGTATGGCAACACTTACGACTATGCCTTTCGCGTTTATAAAAATTCAAAGAAATCAGATTGAGGTAGAAGTTCTGTGACTTCGATCGAGTGATGGACGTTGCGTAGCAGGAAATGGTAAGAACTTAGCCCAGCCATATCAAACATGCTGTATATCATCGGACTCGTCTTCAAACTCTGATCACAGGTGTATGTTTATTATGTGCCAAGGGACTATCTGGAGGAGTTACGAGCGTTTGAATGTGCGTTTTGTCAAGTGTTCTGTAGCGCATTTCCACGAAATATGTTTCAAAAACGAACTTTCAAACTTATTTAGAATTTCGGTAAATGTACTTCTTCCTTGTAATTGAAAAGACCATAACCATTGTACATCCGCGCCATCAGGCTGCCTTTCAGGGAAATATCTCGTCTAAACTCAAGAAATTTTGCCATATTTGAAAACTCAAACTCCATTCAGATAGTCGATTGGCAGATAAAAAACATATATTTGGAATCAGCGTTCTATGATATACAGCTTGTTTGAAATGGCTGGGTCTGCCTGGACGCTGGTGATAGGCAGCGTCCAGGCAGACCCGAGCTCGACGACCACGCCACTTCCCTTGGACGGCCAACCCCTTATGAACGAAATCTCCTCAGCCTTGACGTGTTTTCACATGACCAACACAGTCGAACTTACAGAGTTTACCTGTTAACACTTGCTTTCGACAAGGAGTACATCAGAAGCACTCGTCGGGGTTTTCCATAGCCCCGTGGTTTTCTGAGAAATTCACGCTTTTTGAGTTCCATATTCGGAATCAGCGCCATGGCAAGGCCTGGATAACATAAAAATATAAAAGTCAAGAATCTGCCTGGACGCTGCCTTCAAGTTCTGACCATTTCCTCGTTAGCAAATTACACTTGCTTTGAATTATTGCGGTTGTATTCTATACTTTGAATGTGGGTAACAAATCCGAGGTTGTTAGAAGACGACTCTCTCTCCAATCTCCTAAGTGTAAAGAGACGATAGAAGCAAATGCTAATGATATTGCTTATATGTAGGCAGGTGTGCTGCAATATAACAGCCAATGCAACAAAATTTACTTTCTAGCAACACAAAATTAAGTTTGAATTGAAGTGATAAACCTCACAGAGCTCTTATGAAAACAGGGGCTCTGTCAGTTTGTTAGGTTTTAAGTGGTTGATTGTTTCAGTTTTGAGGTCACACTTTCAGCGGACGTAGTTAGTTCTTGCGAATTCGGCAACAGCCGCAACATGCACTGTCGTTTTCTGTTTCATCTTCTTGTTCCCTCTCACTCTGAAAACTATTAGCGGAGATATGTGCATGTGCAATAATCGGTGTTATTTCGTATTACCCTAATTTTACGCGTATAAAACGCACCTTTTCGGTTTTTCAAGCGTGCTGCTCAGCCGCCTCGTTGTGTTTCGGAAAACGAGACTTATGCCCCCACAATACTCTCAGGCAATATGCAGTACTGTGTATAGTTTTTGGTAGCAAAGTTCTTCGGCGTGTCTCTGCTGTTCGATTTTAGAAGAAAATCCCCCGCGTCTTACACGCGTGAAATTAGGGTAAATGCATCATCTTCTCTTTTGATTGCTTCGTACGTGGCTTTTGTCCCACTTCTTACAAAGACTTTCATTATCTTTACTCGTATATTACTACCTGCAGATATCAACAACAAATTTCAACTACGCAAAGGGATTTCGTAATATCATACATTTTGGGGGTCAAGGCATACGACATAAGGTCCATTTATAAAATCGTGACGACGGATCTGAGTGCGGTCTTTGCGCCCACAGGAGCGTATCCAGGGCTCGGCACAAGGTGGCTTACAAGCAAGCTGGATATCGTTTTTGGGACGAAAAGCAAAGGGGGTTTCGTTTTTGTGGCCGAAGAGACACGGAATGATATCCACGAAAGTCCATAATGGAGGAAAATGGACTTTCAAGCCCCATTTTATTCGTTCGTGGTGAAGAGTGGTCGGAATCTGCTTTCGCTCGCGTTATCCATAAATTTTCATCCCATCGCAACCACGAGGCAATGCGGTGAAATGAAAATGATTCAACCCTACCTGAGCTCTCGCTTGCGAAAGATGACGTCAGAAGTCCATTTAGAATGGGGCAAAATGGGATTTACCTCCATTTAAAATGGACTTGAAAGCCCATTTTACTCCCAGCAGCAAGGTGAGCTGGGACTAAGTCCATTTTTGACCTTTTTGCACATTTTTGGTTGCGATTTTTTTGAGAATGTGTTCCTTAGCCTATTTTGAGGTAACAAGAGAGTGGAAAAAGTTTTATGTCTTTTATAAAGTCCGAGATACGTGTTTTTTCTAAATTTATACAGTCTTTATGAAACTCATGGAAGAAGGTTAAATTTACCAAAATATTTACTAACAACCTCGAATGCTTCCATATATCATTAATCGCTGCGAAAATTCCTATGCAAATCTAATAAAGTTTGTTGACTCTCCACAACATCAACCAAAACTCAATTTATGACTTGTGTTTGAAAATAAAAAAGGTTTTCGTTTCAATATAATCACTTAGAAGCTACTTTTGACTAATCTCGTAGAACCAACCTAAAAGACGGCATTTCAAACGCGGTTTTAAGTTTGATCGCAAGAATTAATGAAGTGCCGCTAGCTAGCAAGAAAAATTGTGAAAAATTTCTTCAATAGTCCGTACATGTAACTACTTAGAGATAATAAACATTAGTGCTGAAAGACAAAGAAGAGCTAAAGCAGTACATTTGCGAAGTCATCTTTTGCAAATTCGTAGTTTTTCCAATTTAAAAAACTCTGTGGGTTGTAGTGTAATAGGTTTCCTAATATACATTTTAATTCACAGATTGCAGTGCAAGTTCAGCCAAAGTTTGCTTTCTGCAGAAAGCTCTACTTACGAATTTGATTCAATGATTCATAGAAGTCTTGAAAAGCGAAGGCCCGGATTTTACATGAATTTTAGTTTTGGGAGTAATTTAGATGCATAGTCATCGATGATAAATGGCATTTTAAGGGGTGTAACGAAGTGGGAAAGAAGAGAATATTAAAGTAACTGATATTGTAATGTTAGGTCAGCATAGTTAGATATCGACCACTTGATGGAAATGGGTTTGGAAGAGTGAGCAAACAGGTTGAGGCAAGTTGGAAAAAGGTTTGCCTAAGCATTTTTGTTTAGAATGAATGGATTCGCGAATGCGATATCTTATCGCACCGCATGGACTAAGTCCATTTTATTCGCACGAAAAGCCCATTTCGCGGGGACTTTCGTGGATATCATTCACGGAAAATTGGCGACGGCGACCTTTTTTTTTGGTCGACGCGTTTTTTGAGGGATTTTGGGGAATTTTTCAGGTTTTTAGAGGAAATTTGGTTGAGGGTCAAAGGGGACTTCGTGAAAATTCCCAAAAGTCAAGGGGGACTTCGTTTTTTCCATTTTCATCTAGCCACTTCGTGCCGAGCCCTGAGCATATCACCCTCTAAAAAGACATCACCCAAACTCTCAGCTCAGTTATTTCCAGTGTCCAAGTACTGTCATACCTTAGTAGAAAAACCAGTCGAGTAGAGATCAAAACCAAGAAAGTACGTTTAGAGGAAGCTGTGTGCGTGTCGGGTGGTGCGCCATCGTCACGATTTTTCGAATGCCCTATACTTGCCATGTGTCCACAAAACATGGTGCACCCAAATTGAATTTTCTTATTAGATCAGTTCGATTACCATAAAAGTTTGATTATAACAAATGCATAATTTGAAAGTCGTCTTCCTCTTTCATAAGGCATAGCCTCCTATTCATCCGTTGACTGAAGAGATTTCAAAATTCATGATTTGAGAGGATTAATCGTTCCACTTGGCAAGAAGGAAAACAACAAGTGACATCGTTTGTGACATGAATGCAAAAGTCCGCAACTACACTGCGTTCCCCTTTCAACAAGTAGTACGAACGACATAACTCAGTTGAATTAACTTTGCAAGCAGTAAACAAAACGCTTTCAATGAATTTCTTGTCGTTGCTGTTCGTATACAGAAGTTAAAACTTCCAAATTTGATTTGTTAACGTAATGACACATGGTAGCAAATTCATCTAACTTATCTGCTCCTGAGCGAGTGATGCCACATGTCTCGTGACGCGATACCTAACGAATGACCCACTTGTTATTTCGCTTGAAGCAATAAGACTTTCAAAAATGAGAAATGCACCAAGTTCAACTTAAAGCGTCTGTGCTCACAGCGTCATTGAGTGCCAGTTCTGGAGGTACACTGGTAGATTCTGCGTCTTACTTTATGCTTACTCAATATAGGCTCTCCATGTGTTTTCCGCATTCCTATGCGTCCATCTGTAGGGTCGACGGAAAGCTTTTGGATAAATTTTATGTAGTCTTATTGAGCTGAAGTTACACGAAAAATGCATAGCTAAAACATCAACTTTACGGAATTGACAATAATGCGCACACGTGGCTGGAGCGTACGAGAGCATGGGTTGTACAAGGGCAACCTGGCAAAATCGTCATGATATTCTCGTCGCGTGCTCATATGCCCCTGTGCCAACCGCAGCCTCTTAGGTAAACCTTGCAAATCGAAAAAATCGATATGGATCAGTGGCGTACCCAGGATTTCGGCTCGGGGGGGGGGCGCGACAAAAATTTTTTTCTAAAGAAGGTGCGTGGCGTTAGCCACGCACTCCGAAAAAATTTTAGGGGTGCTTCCCAAAATTTTTTCGGGTCCCCGACCCCTGAAATCTGGAAAAAGGGGGCGTGGCGTCAGCCACGCCCCCGAAAAAAATTTTTTTACAAGGCTAATTTGAATTTTTAAAAATTTTTAAAGATTATTTTAATTATTTACAAAAATAAACAAGTCACTTACACATTTTTATAACCCATACAAGTAACTTTCAAAAATTTCGCGACCCATTCTCGGGGGGGGGGGCGCGCCCCCCCCCCCCGCCCCCCCTCGGTACGCCACTGATATGGATCGATAACGAACAGTAGCCTACAGCACTCGCATCGTCCCCAAGTGTATGTGTGTCAAATTTGGTCTCTATTATGCTCTTCATTTATACAAATTTTTCTCCAGCAAGACCCAAGAATGTGCGGTAACTTATACTTACCGGTAAATCGCTTACTTCGCTTAGCAAGCCCGGAATCCGTTCTTCATGTGGTAAGCCCATCATAACTGGTGTTATTCCCCTTATGATTTTTTCTTCATGTGGTAAAAGTTGAATAGGAGAGTTGAAGTAATGTGCACAGGAGTACCCATAGAGATTGTAAACGTTGCCCGTGTAGAGATCAGCATATCTGGAATGTTCGTAAAAATGAAGGACCATTGAAAGTTTGTGAAGGGTTAAGTAAACGCAGCGACTCTCGGTTTGTAGCGAAGCTGCATTCTCAGCTGCCAACCCCATAGAATAAAGTTTGTAGTCACACAGTACGTACTTTTCCAACTGTCCAGCAAAATACGTCTGACGCCACCCACATCTTAGCATAGAACCCATACTTCCATATTCCGATTCCATATCATTTGAGATTTTCTGTGATTTCCTAATTAGAAAAGGTGCATCCCAGCTACTTTAGCAAACTAACGGAAATCTGTTTCAATATATTTTTTCTATCCTCCTCCCCAAGGTCAAGAGACAGGTTCTGGTGTAGTTCGACTAATTTATGGAATTTCGGTTGCTGTTGAGACCATATCTAAAGAGGTGTAATTTATAGAAGTCTGGTCAATGCAGACTTATATTCCACTCTGTCTGATCTTAGTCTTTATGGGAATGAATAGGAAATCCTAACCCTTTATCTCATTCAGTCATTAGAGTTAGAACTTCCAATTCTAGCAAAAGTATACAATGTAGTATCATACCTTTAGTTCTGTGCCCAATTCTGGAACGATAAGTAAAGTGCGCCATCCATCTACCTTTTTTGACCTCAAAATGGAACGATAAAAATTGAGCGACTATCATTTATGAACGAATTTTGAAGTCGAAAAGTCCGGGAATGCACTCACTTCAAGACATCTCCAAAAATGTGATCTCCTACATAAAGTATATCCTTTCCAGCCAAACCCATTCGTTGTACAAATTCAGTCGCGCAACCTGGATAAAGTAATGTGAGCAGCGCTTTCATCTTTGAGTTCTCTCTAGGAGGCCTCCAGAGTGCGTCAGTGTTTGTCCTGCGGAAAAACAGCGCGGCTACCATATGGACTCGATTCGCATTGAAAGCAGCTCCTACGTCTTTCGATCTTTATCTTTTTGTCATTCGAGGCCTTTGGAGGGGGGGGGGGGGGGTCGAAGTCATACTTGAATTTTGAAGAAATGAAGACGAACCCACTTTTAAACCTTCTTGTGCTCCGGAGCTAATCTCAGAGCAATCAAGAAACGCAGAGACACACATGTGCATTAATTTTTTTGACATGTGGGTAACTGTCAATAGGAAATGGCTGAATAGGGTAAAGCCGCTACTCCCTTTTTCTCTTCATTCCGGAGCAATTCTCTGTTCTAATGCCGAACAAAAGCAAAATGCTGTAAATCTTTGCAGTTTAACTTGATTCGAAAAACAAGACCTAATTAGGTATTCAGCTTCAGGAGAACAGTAATGGCTCCAAACTTTTGACCACTGTATCCCATGTTTGCAAATTTTTGTGCGAGTTTTTCGTTGTGTCAAAGGTTTGAGATTTGCTTTTACAAGCAGAATGTGTTGAGTGCACTTCAATCTTCTTTCATAAAGGTGATTGGTTCTTCGACTATGCGCACTTTCATAGGTTTCGGAAAACACTACCCTACAAGACAACTCACCTTTACAATAAACATCATTTTTCTGCAACGGTCCGCTGTGACTCCCCATTTGTGCACAACCGGTAGATACATCCACCTGCAATAAATTATTCCAACCTTAAACTTGCATACATTCTAATATGCACAATAATATTTAGTGCCTCTGCAGACGACAGTAAGATGTGCAAAGCAATGCCATTATGATGCTAGCAGCTCATGTTCTCAATCTCACAATCAGATTATCCCGGAACAGGATCAGGCGGGTTGCGAACGCGGAACGTGCCCTGATGTATTTGAAAGAAACGGAAGTGCTTGCAGTCCTTCGATTGGAGAGATACTTGTTCAAACATAAATTTTTTTTTAGTCTACACCAGATCGAGACTAAATCGTACACTAAGCCTATGCTTATTGAGCAAATATCGTCATCTGCTTTGAAAATAACGGCTTACGGTTTTGAAGGCGGAATCGCTTAGGAACCATTTCGGTTTTTCGCCATCCACAATCACTACGTCGAACAATTGTCTCCATTGTGATCCCATAACATGCGACATTACTAGCTGAAATTTTTTGTCATATGCCCATTAACAGCATTTGTATCCCGTCTTCCTTCTTTTCTTTCTAAAAAGATAGTCGAGCAAGACGAACTTGCAATCTTTGAGGGCCATACTACTTATCAAGAAATAGAGAAAGCTAGCTGGTGTCTACGTTCCTGCTTGGACCGTAACTTAATTGACCTACTAAGTCATAATTCTGGTTTAAAGTGTTTGAAGAATTCTCCCTTTGTTTATATTTAGAAGCATGTTTAGCACTGTTAGATAATCTATATACACAGCCTTGGGATGTTTCTATCAACTTTAGAGAAAGAAAAATGAGATTTGAAGAAGAAAAATTTGAAGAAAAGACAATCGGCCGCTGAGGATCATAAGGGGATCATACAAAAGCTGAAAAATGCGGCTTGTACAACTTCTCGCTCTTGATCAACTTGTTTATAGTAAAGAGTAATAGAAACATTTGCGGATAGTTAAACCGCGTAAAACCCGGACACTGGAGCTTTAGGATACGAAGCTTTTCGAGTTGCGTTCCCACTCAGGGGAGATGTTAATGCAGGCGCCCTAAGATTAGAGGGGGGGGGGACGGAGGAGAGACGAACGCCGCTGTGCGTCTCAATGAAATGGTGCTCTTCTCGTTGCGATTTGATGCATACGGCCTCAAAGCAGTGGCTCGGGAAAATTGCGACTGCGAGGTTTCCACAGCTACTTGGCCTTCTGGATCCTCTGAGTCCACGACTGTGCTTGAAAAGTTAAACGCGTTCATTGTGGCGTTTTCCTGCCTTAAGATTGCTGAGGAAACTGGAGGAGAGATCTCGCCGAAAACAACGACAGCCTGCAGGACACTGTAGCTCCACCCATTTTGGTGGCACTGGCTGATTGGCTCAGGCAGCCAATCACCCCTTAGTTGGCGGGATTCGCTCGTGCAGCCCTTCGAGTATCTCCAATACCGGGAAACGCCATAAAAAGATTTGACATTTCAAGCACAGTCGCGGACTCAGCACATCCAGAATGCCAAGGAGGGATGGAAAGCTCGCAGTTACAATTTTCACGAGCCACTGCTTTTGAGTCGGTTCTCGCGTCAGAAATTTTTCAGAATTTGTATAGCTATGGTACAAATCTAGAGGTTCAAAAAGGTTGAGATTTCGCTAATTGCTACATATAAATACACACTTACGTCTGTATAGATCCAATCTGAGTTGGTCAGAAGAAACGTTTTCTTCCCACCTTGCGAAAGTTTGTGGAACATTGCTGCTGCGCGGCTATCCTGCGCTATATATCTCTTCAAATTACCAGTGATTTCGTTTTTGAATACTCCCTATAAAATCAGGTTATGGGAACAAGACATTCATGCTGAGTGTTTATCTATTCGTGAGGCAGATCAGTTAAATTCAAGGTTAGTCAGCTGAATGTAGTTCAAAAGAATTGCATTGGCCAGTATTGCTTGAAAAATTCCAGCTTATGAGCCTAATAGTGGTTCAAGTTAATTCTCCCCAGTCTTCGTCGTTCCTCGCTTTTCACACTTTTTTGCAGTCTTTCAAAGACAAGAGATGAAAACGATAGCGAAAGTGGTAGTGCTCATGATCAAAATAAGTGATTATATCTGGTCATAATTGCAACCTATTTGGAAGCAAACAGTGGTTATTGCATGGCTTAGGGAACGGCACAGGTCGTCGGCAACGATTGTTAAGGTTGCCGGCATTGCCTGTCGTGGTAGAACCTCTCTGTCTTATGTGCTCTCTAAGGCCCCGGGCAGACTTCACGCGATTTGATCGTCGCGACTGAATCGCGACGAGACAACTGTTACAACATCATTCCATGCAGATCAACTTGCATTCGGTTGTGATACTTTTCCAGACCGAAATTTTTGAATGTGAAATGAAAATGAATGGAAATCTTGGCGATTAGATCGCGACGATTAAGTCGCGTGAAGTCTGGCCGGGGCCTAAGCGGCAACCCCAGCAAGCTCGGCAACTCCGGCAACCTCGGCCACCGTTGCCGGCCACCTATGGCTTCCATTACACGAAAGGTATTCCTAATCGAAGTGGCCTTTTCAGATAAAATTTATGTTTTATATTAGGTTGTCCCGAAAGTTTTGTCGGTTTTTTCCATCGCTCACTAAAACTCACAGAACACCATTCCATGAACGTTCTAGGTACCCTTTGGTTTAGATTTTCATCCTCTTTCTTACAGCTACACCTGTTCTCTGACTCACCCTGTCTTTGCAATGTTACCGCCATGGCTTTTTGAGCAGCTCAACAGTAACGCCAAACCTTTATGAATTTTTAAAATTTCTCTCCTGACACTTCTAAGGAACGCTGGTGACTGTTATGTAGAGCAAAGCTTTGGCTACAATGTACCCATTTTAGATTACGTGGGTAACGTTTACCAAACCCGTTATAATTATTTATTTAATGAAAACCGTGGCTTTTTGACTACGTTTGCCACGTAAAAGTACCGAAAATTCCAAAAAGCTGCTTTTTCAAAGCGAGTCAAACTGGATAATGTTGCACAATTAGTGTTCAATAAGAATCATGTTGCAATTTGCAGAAACTTTAGAAGTTTTTATGTTTTTGCTGCAGTTGCGTGTTTTATGACTTTGCCAAAAATCGAGACCTCCGAAGAAATAACTTTTTGAAGCGAAAATCAGCAGACTAGTGGAATCCAAAAATATCGTCTTGTAGTCCGCGAATTGCTCTATTTATTCCTTACTTAACCCTTTCCGAAACTTCGAAATGAAATTTCCAAAAATTGGCTGAACTTTGAGCAGACAAAAATGACGGGTGAAGAATTTCAGCAATTATAAAAGAAAGCATACAGGATTCTGGTTCGAAAATGTAACCGCAAGAAAGAGAAGGAAAAGATGTATCGAAAACATTCTGAAGCTCATTCAGATCTTCATTGAGCGCGGTTTTATAGTGGTCTGAAAAAACCGACAAAAATTTCGGGACGACCTAATAGATCAAAAAAGCTATTTCCAAATATTCTCCGATATCTGCTGCGTGGGGGCGGACGCCGACTCATGATCGTTGGGCCGTAAAAGATCAACCAGAGCAAATGTTTCAAAAACGTTCAAATGGGTCAGTATTGTATATCAAAACACTTCACGCAGCAAATACTCCTTATTTCGTACACTCACACTCACCACTGTTTCATTTAAGCGCCAAGGGGCTGTAACGACTCCTTTTTTGTGCCAAACGCTTATTTCTCGCTTCAAACGGCGCTCATAACTCGACTCTCGATGCGTAACAGATACCAAAATTAGATTTGAAGTCAGCGTTCAATTTTCTATCTAAAGGTGTTGAGTTCGTCCAGAGAAGTCACTTCGACTAAGAACACATTCTTTTTTAGTTAGTTTTGTATAATCAAGATAAGCACTATTCAGTAAGTCACGACATTTGTCTTACATGAGTGTGTATCCAGTCTATAGCGTTTCTGCAATCCTCGAATATCGTAGAGAATAAAACAATTTGTTCTCCGTTGATCTTCTTATAGCCGATTTTGTCATTTAACCTAAAATAAATAATTTTTCCCATTCCTCTCATTTTTCTATTCGTTGAATTCCTCGCGCATGAAAGCAAGCACTAATGTCGTGACCGTCTCAGGACTTCCGTCCGTGGGGGGGGGGGGGGGCAGAATTTCTTTCAAATGAAGGTGCGCTAAGCCACACACTTCGAAAAACTTTTTGGGGTACTTTTCAAGATTTTTGCGTGCACATAACCCCTAAAACCCAGAAAAAGGGAGCGTGGCGGCAACGCTAGGCTCTAAAATGCTTCATTGATTTCTTTGCGAAAAATGAAAAGTTGTCAGAAAATTAGCTTTCGTTGTCTTTTGTACGTATGGGTGAAAATGTTAACTATCGTTTCAGAAACTGAATTTTTGAAAACCTCACTGCCAGCTCTGCTGAGACAAAAATCTAATCACCCTTCATATTCGGCTCCAACCCTTCTTTCAAAGTAATCCACAACGGCAGATAAGAGAAATGTTTCAGGTACGTTGAAGACTGTATTCAACACAAATATCCTTGCTCTTTCCAAAGCAATGTGTTTATTCCTGTAGTACTGTCGCACCTCTTTTCTGTAACAAAGTTACATTATTAATCAGCTAGTTTCAATAAGGAAAAAATCAGTTTAAGGCTTACCCCTTCAGCTTTCTGAAACCTCTAAAAGCACTCAATATGTTGCAATGCTCATCGGTCTTCAGAAGATTACCATACTTCTTATCATACCACGTATTTCTAATGATTGCTTCCTTCCTGTATGGGGCTGCCTAGAAAATGCATGTTTTCAACTTTATGAGTGAATATTGTGTAGAGTTACACCACTTACCCCAATATCTGGTGGATATCCCAGGAATACTAGTCGTTGAACAGCTAAGTCAAATGCCAATTCCTCACATACTGGTGTTTTATAAACTAAATTTGCTTTTCAGAAATTTTCAGCCGTGGAGGAGAACAGAAGAATCTTAGTATATCACACTCAAAAAAATTGCACACGAGCTAGTCAAAGCAAGCGTTATTCATCCTTTTAACATCGTACAAATGGCGATTTCGCTCTGTTAACTCTTCAGGGTTTCAAAATGGGAAGCTGTACCACGTGCTAGCCTGCTTTTGGCATCATCTATATTTTGCCGTAATGATGCGATGGTTCGACCTTTTTTAAATCTTGGCATTGGTCCTTGATACGAGTATTGATTGTTTTTTTAACGTTGACCAAGATGGTATCGGTATTTATTGGGCCGACGTTTCGGCGTCCACGCCTTCGTCAGAGCCTGAAAAAGTCAAAGACCACTTATGATACGTCCTTCCAGACGCCTCATCTTGCTACAGAATGATTTTTCAAGATCAGATGAAGCCAAAACCTGCGTTTAGATCGCAAAGAGATACTCACCTTGGAGATAACGAGATTTTGGTCAAAGGCCGATAGTGAGATATACTAGCCACTACGCATATTTAAGGCCTGAGGGTCCAACGCAACCCGCCTACGCAAATCTCAGCTACGTAGGTCAAATTTACATAAGCTTTGGTAAGGTGCGAGCTCGTTTGTTCCCGATAAGCACTCCTCTTTTCTGTTTGATTTTGGATTTTTGCGGATATCCACAACGCCTCGAGAGTTTTGCGCGCTATAATTTCGGGTTCATGCGACAAAATCGTGATCTTCACTTCAAAGGAAATGTTGGCATGGTCTTCCTGGCGGTGGGCTTCTAAACGCGTAGACGATCTTGACTTACTGAGCCCATCCAAGCGTTCTTTGATACGAACTGAGAGGGATCGTCCCGTTTCTCCTATGCACTCTTCACCGCAAGAGAGACAATTGATTAGATACACCTCTCCTGTTACGGTACAGTCTCCTTCTCTTCCATAACGGCAAATCACACAGTTTAGGCTAACGCAGAGGCGGTCATAAGCTCGGTTCCGTACTAGCAATCCCTTAAGGTTTTTTTGGGGGGGGGGCTCCACAACCCTTAAAGAATCTTGTAGGCCTGCCTGAAGCAAGTATGTCCTAACAGCTTACTTAATTTGTTGGGGATGCGTTGGCGGGCCCTCATGCCTTAAATATGCGTAGTGGCTAGTATACATCACTATCGGGTGGCCTTTGGCAAAACCTCGTTTTCTCTGAGGTGAATATCTCTTTGCGATCTAACACACAGGTTTTGGCTTCATCTGAACTTAAAAAATCGATTCTGTAGCGAGATGAGGCGTTTGAAAGGACGTATCTAAATGGTCTTTGACTTTTCAAGGCTCTGACGAAGGCGTGGATGCCAAAACGTCGGCCCAATAAATATCAATACCATCTTGGTCAACGTTAAAAAAACAATCAATACTCGCATCCATATTTTGATAATAGTAAAAGTCTGACTTTTTTGTACAAAATTGAGCTATGCTTCGTCGCGGTACCATGCGAGAATAATGTAGAATTACATTCCATGTCATTCTCATCTTATGTACTGATCTCTTCCAGAATACCGACCGCGAAACGAGAGAAAGAGATGTCCGGAACAATGCAATGCTGTCAAATCAATGTCAATGTCAATGTCCAATGATATTAGCCCTCAAGTATCCTTCAGATTTTCATCTTATCTGTGTGCGCTCATCTTTTTTTGCTCCTTGGTTGGAGATTCCCGTTTGAATGGGCTATTCCTCCTCGCTGATTTCAAAAATGTAGCCTAGAGAGTGCAAAGATGTTGAGGACGGCTTTTTCAAAGCCTTCAATCCGGAGGTTTCAGCAGATCCAATCAACGTTGGATACGCGGAGTCGCTGTGGGACCCCTTGGTATTGATGTATGCGTTATGCGAGCTCCAGTGGGTGTGATCCGGAGGGAGGGAGAGGGGGGGGGGGTAACGGATAATTGCATTCCGCAACCTTTTTTATCCTCGCATGTGTCGCGCCTATGAAGGGTCACCATTTTTGTCAGCTCCATGTTTTTCTTCTGCGGCATGGTCTGTTCTCAAGATTTTCGCAGATCGGCCTTGCTCCGTCAACTTTCTCCTGAGCTTACCTCTGAGTCTTTTGCCTGGTGCCTTTACTCTGGCAGGGCTAACCTTGTGAGTGACTTTTCTCCCTTCTGAAAATATGCCTATACCATCGTGGCCTCATTTCCTGCATTTTCTGGGCAATTGACGCTACTTTCATTTGGGTTCGTATAGTGTCATTGCAGATGTGGTCTTTCAGTGTGACACCTTAGCCATCGTGGTATCCTAGTTTCCATGCATGGCCACAATCACTGCCATACAGTGCTGCCCAGATCACGGTCGCTGCCGTTGGGACTTAAGTTGCACTAGCAACTCTTTTGTAGCTAGTTTCTGTCCCGTCTAGGCTCTCCGTTTCATCCACGCTGTGTTCATTCTGCCCCTGCAATCTCCTCTTGCTTCCTTCTGCTGAGACCTAAATGCCTAGGTACTTGCATGCGGCTGTCTTCTTTAGTTCTTCACCATAGATGCTCATGGCACCTGGAATTTGCTTCCCACTTCCACGTATCCTGTCTTCTCGGTTCTCGGTTTCTAGTACTTGCTATTAAGACCGATCATCTGAGTGGAGAAGTGTCCAAGAAGGTTCAAGCCTAGGTAGTCCCATCAGATTCATCACAATGATGAAGAGCAATGGAGAGATGAATCTGGTGTAATCAAACCTTGATTTGGAACTCTTTCGATTGCCCTGCAGCTGCTTGTACCTGTCTTGAAGCGTTGTGGTGGATGAACCTTTAGCCACTGAACGTACTCCCCTGGTATCGTGTTTTTCCTGGGGCCCACCATATGACTTCATGTGGCACCCTCTTCGTCATCCGTACATCCGACTTGTGCCACATAGTAATTACTCGTAGGACTTGTTCCTCAGCTTCTATTTTGCTCATCAGATGGTCGCTCATGCGCTGAGCGTAATTATATTGCAAGTGAGAGTCTACGAGACAGCTATACCAACTCCATTTTTGATATAGCTGGCACCGTTGTAAATGCTTAGGTCCATCTTCGATGTTGCGTGACATTGCCCCGCTCCACTTTTTTCCTCTATGCAGGCTACATCGAATCGCAGTTTCTTCAGAAGATCTGCTAATTCTCGAGAACGAGAAGTGAGTGTACCCATATTGACGATAGCTAAACGGAGAGTCTGTGATTTCTCGCATCGTTCCTCTGGCAAACTAGTCGCTTTAGCCGTCCCCGTTCACCTTGCTGAGATGGTAACCCTCGCACCTGTTCGCATTCACCGGGCTGGAATGTGCGCCACTTCCGGAGGACGTCCTAACTTTAGATACTTTACGAGACACATCCGAACTTTTGATGCGACGAGGTGTTTCTCAGCCAGCTTGTCGCATGCCCTTCTTCGAAGAGCAGCCTGCCTGATGCTAGAACTGTGAGCAGAATTTGCCGCCGAATTTGGGCTCACGATGGAATCGCACGTGACCTTCAGCACGGTAATGTTACTTAGAGCACTGACCACGAGACTTACTCTGCTCCGCAACATTGGAGCGAGTTTTCAGTTCTTATGAACACGCTTCTTACGAGGAAAGGATACTTGGTGACCGTGGTCCTTCGGTATGTGGCTTATTTTATGACTTCGCCGTTCTCGATATTCTATTTGTTGTCTGAGGAACGATTAATCCGGAAAACCGTGCCTCTTCCCTTCCGATTTTTTTGCGCAAGAGTACGAGTAACGTCGAGAGCGCTAAAGGTGAATGGTGTAGTGGTTAGCGCTGTCGATTGCTGCACAATGCCCGTTTGATCTCTGTCAGTGCGAATATCTTTGCGTTTGCTTCTAGCGCTATTTCTTCTCAGAGAGCGTTCCACAGGTATCGAACGTAGTTTTGAGGTCAGCGTTCAAGGCGAACATCTCGATATATAACATATCTCAATCAAAAGACCACGGTCACCAATTATCCTCCCATTGTTAGCTCCGATTGATCTTACTGACTGCTTAATAGTGGAGCGATTTTATTTTAGCGACCGCTGAGTTCAATATTGCATTCACTGCTGAACGCTCCCTTAAAACTAACATTGACCGCCGCTCGTTGGGCTTATGTAACGTTAAACAAAAAGTTGCCATTGAGGCATGATTGGTGAAGTGGCAAGTGCGTTTTTTAGGCAAATTGTTGTAGACTCCGGTCCTGTTGCGAATTTCCCTTGCTTATGATGAATGTGGTCATGACTCTTCTCAACAGAGTATTCAGCAGATAGTGAATGCAGATCAGCGTTCCAAACCGATATGAACCATATACAGGGCTCGGCACGAGGTGGCTAGATGAAAATGGAAAAAACGAAGTCCCCCTTGACTTTTGGGAATTTTTACGAAGTCCCCTTTGACCTTCAACCAAATTTCCTCTAAAAACCTGAAAAATTCCCCAAAATCCCCAAAAAACGCGTCGAAAAAAAAAAGGTCGCCGTCGCCAATTTTCCGTGTCTCTTCGGTCACAAAAACGAAACCCCCTTTGCTTTTCGTCCCAAAAACGATATCCAGCTTGCTTGTAAGCCACCTCGTGCCGAGCCCTGACCATATATGTCGTTACAAACGGAGAGATCGACTTAGTATCATTCCCTTGCGACAACATCACTTAGTGCATTGTGTTGAGAACTGAGACTCTGTTCAATCAAAAGTGACATCGCCTGTAGACCCTCATAGCTTTTTATTGCTGGTACATGCTGCATCTTGTACAAGCATATTTAGTTTGGAACGGACAAATATTACTTGCTAAGGTTGCATCCATGTCGAAACCGACGCATTTGATCTTATCGAAGCGAAGTGATCGATTTGCGAATATTCTAAACGATGCCGGGTACAGCCATAGATACTGATTCAGACAAACGTACGAAACCAACCGTGCTTCCATACTGGTATTAATTATGCAAATGAAACTTTCTAGGTTTTGAAAGCCATGAACACTAAGCTTATCAGAGCTTATCATTCATCCTAATTGTGAGATGATTCGGCCATACCTTACCGCTGCTGCGCTTGCCATGAAAAAATGACAGTGTTACTGTCGCTAATCAAAGAAATTTTGCCGTCAAGAAAAATGCGTATTTTAAAAGCGAGGGATACCAACCTGAGTTGGCGATGACGAGGTGTAAATCGCTAAACGCGTCTTTGAACTCTGGTTCCAAATCCGCTTTCTTTTTTCTGCAAACAATTCTTTCAAAGAAACTGAGACCCATAAAACTCCAAATTGGGCAGGTTTTAAGTGGCATAAATTAGCCAAAAGCTGTACAAAAACACCAGGAGATGAGTAATCAATCTTATATCAAGTATTGATTTGATGCAAAAATAATGGGAGATTTTCCAAGCATTTTTTCCATCAGAATTTGTTCTTTGAAATGTACATATGTAGCAAACCGCTGAGAAGCTATTTTCATGTTCTATCTAATGGTGATTGAAGCCGGCTTCCATCCTCATCTGTTATAAAGTGGCTGAGCTTTGAATAACCGCATCCAAATTCAGATTTTTTTTTGCATTCGCTTTTCTTGTATTTTCTGAAGCTATCCAGGACTGACAATGAAATAGGGCCCTCAACATGGGTAGCCGTTGCGGTCATTTCTATGACCCATAGATTTCTTTTGAAGAAGTCCATAGTCAAAGCTTTGCTCAAGTCTGCAAGCGTATTGCTAGTGGACTGATAGTAGTTTTTGCAAAGACTTTAATTTGTTCAGTGCGGAGAAATCAGAAAATTTCATATTTGAGACTTTAAAGCATACTGAAAAAATATTGAAAAGATTGACAATTTTGAATTTTAACTCTTTTCTTTTTCGCAACTTTTTCTCCAAACCCTTCCCATCGTATTTTGTACTACTGGCTTTCGGCTACAAGATAGGCAACCTATAGTTCTTAATAACAACCTCTGAAGGAAGTTATGAGTTGTCAAAAACAAGGTTTTAGAAGAAGACCTTTTTTCGTTTTTTAAACCATAGTTTTTTGCCCGTATGTGAGTATAAATGAAAGTGCGCTGTATTGCAAAAGGTTTGCTGCTTCTAAAAGTTTTAACCGCATTCAGAAATGTGGATTTTTCGAAAAGTTATAGCACGTTAAATTGAGAGTTCGCAGAACGGCCATTTTTTGCATTAACCTGACATAATGACTACGAAAAAGGAATACAGCCACTAAGAATTCGCATAGGTGTTTTTGTAGAGCTTTTTGCTTCTTTCATCCCACTCGAGGTTTTTCAAGTTTGGACTTCAAAAGTCGTAATCTTTTGCAAGAAAGCAGATTTTAAATCAGCATTTAAAGACGTGTCTTGTAACATAAATTTAGACGTCAACTGAGTTGGTATCCTTTCCTTGTTGGATTCAAGTCAGCAAAACAGAGTGATCATCAATGTTTTTATATGTACAGGCATACTATAACACAACACATACTTTTCTGAAATTAGAGTTCGAAACATTAAAACAAGAGACCAATCAATGTAAATTTAAGCATAATACACATGGCATCAAAGCTGAGAATCATGAGCTCGTAATAAGTCGAGATTTCAGAACCCGAAAACATCAGTATTTGTGGAAAGCACAAAGCGCTAGATATGCTGAGCAGTTCATTTATGCATCTTCAACGGAGGCAGATTACGGTACTGCTCTGGCTGCAGGTGTACATGCGGCACTCCACGGATACCTGGATTAGCAGTTTTAGTTTTTGAAAAAAATAGATAAAGTTATTAAAGGCAGCTAAAACATATAGAAAACTCACTATTTATATTGATAGCTAGGCTATTCTCATCCACTGTAGGAGGTCGGGCCAGGTTATCCAATGCCTCAGTGCTGTTGAATGTGCTTATGTAAGGCCCTGCAATCAAAATTCACTGTTTTTCAATGCATAGGAATTTTGATAAAAAAGTTTTCTGACCGTTCTTTGCTCCTATTGGCGGTAGTGGAGGCCGTTTATATGGGTCCAGATTACTCGCCGAATTTTGGCGAGCTTGAAGTTGGCTCTGCTTGTTCGGCGCTTGGCAGCATAAGCAACACCTGTAAAATATCACCCTGTAGTAAAACATCATTTTCAACTGAATTTATTTATTCATCATCATTTATATCCCAATCTGTTTCTCATACTAATTTATTTATTCTTAGGTTTTCAAAGACACTTATTTGACTTATTCATCATATCCGAGGTACACAATGTGCACTCGAAATCCAATCTACAAATTGATTCTATTAGATTGGCTAGGAATTTCAGCAGATATTAACGATTTATAAGAACTTTACAGACAAATTTCTGTGAGATCGTATGGTATTCAAGAAGAATGATCTAGTGAGAAACAAAGATCAACCTTATATGATTCATACATAATAGTAGAGGTTTGATAATTACTAGATTGATGCATAATTAATCGACCAAATCAAGTGGCACCACAAAAACTCATATTTCTTCTCCCTAAATATAGGTTCCGGACTACCATTCGGTAGCAAGATAAGCTTCAAAAGATGGTGTTCAAACATTTGAACCAACTTCGAGCGCAAAATTCGAAGCCAAAAACTAAAAGGATTTAAACGCCAGGAAAATCGAGAAGAACTCTTAACTCCGCTCACGAAAATCTTACACAAATCCGTACTTGTTCAGGCATATACCCTCCGCACCAGATATCCTTTAGAGTTACAGCATTTTTCCTCAGCAATAGAAATTGTAAATGTTTCGTGAAAATTCTCATGTTTTTTCCAAAGCAATGCTAAGCTTTTCATAGTGATAAGCAGGGTAAAGCGGGGGGTGCGGCACTCGACCGTCGGATACGACCCCCCCTGATTGCTGTCTTAATAAGACCCCCCTCCTAAACTATACACTTAAGATAGTATTACCTGAGGGCTCTGTCAAACATAATGGACAACATATCCATAATTAGCATGTCAAATACCCCCTGTAGACAAAGTGTGAGCGAATTCTGAAGATTCAAGATACTAGGCTACCTAAGTGAAATGGTCAAATTCCAACATGGTTAACTTTGTTTTAAAGGTGAATTAGCTATCCGTTTTTGCACTCAAGACAAAGCACTACTCCTTCTTTGTCCACCTCAGGAATCCCGCTTCAGAAGACCTCCAAACTGTGGAATTAGAAGCCAACCAAAATCTCATTTTTCCCATTTTTCGCTTTTGATGGCTGTGCTTTCCTATGGAATCTACGAGGTTTAGGCTATCGATTCATATAAATATTGTCCGCTAAAAATGTTTTTTTTATATAGTTAATGGCCTGCGGCACCCCTGCGGCACCCCTGCGGCAGCCGCAGGTTTTGAGGGGGGTGCCGCAGGCCATTAACTATATCAAAAAAACATTTTTAGCGGACAATATTTATATGAATCGATAGCCTAAACCTCGTAGATTCCATAGGAAAGCACAGCCATCAAAAGCGAAAAATGGGAAAAATGAGATTTTGGTTGGCTTCTAATTCCACAGTTTGGAGGTCTTCTGAAGCGGGATTCCTGAGGTGGACAAAGAAGGAGTAGTGCTTTGTCTTGAGTGCAAAAACGGATAGCTAATTCACCTTTAAAACAAAGTTAACCATGTTGGAATTTGACCATTTCACTTAGGTAGCCTAGTATCTTGAATCTTCAGAATTCGCTCACACTTTGTCTACAGGGGTTAATTGACGTGCTAATTATGGATATGATACGAATATCATGTTATCGCTATAATCAGATCACCTAACTACGACCCCCTCCCCTTTTGACTCCTCAATACGACCCCCCCTCTGCGGCGTGCCGCACCCCCCGCTTTACCCTGGTGATAAGCCTTATACGCCTTCAAAACTACAACCGTATAGTCGTCCTCACCCCACTAGTCGGTCGGTGGTCGAGTTTGAATTCGAATTGGAGCAGAACGGCCGCGGCAGAGCGCGGCAGACCGCCCCTTAGCCAATCGCTTACATATGAGCTTTTCTCTTATTTTCTTCGTGTTTCTTTGCTATCTTTCGTATTGCGGCAATGCTCTTAATCAGACTTCCAGGTTTTGCACCGCTAACTATTGTTTTGTGCAGTTGTGCTCGTTTGTTTCACATTTTTCCATGTAAACAGGGAAGAAGGATGCGATTGGAGATTTTTGGATTAGTAATCTCTTTTTCCGGTAAGTGACATATACACAAATGTGATTTGATGAAATGTGTCAAGTTTTTCGTTAGAATATGTACTCTAGACTTTTTTTTTTGCGGTAAGGCTGAAATTCTCTCAAAAAGTTTTGTTTGAAAGAGTTAGCGGTACGAAATTTGAAAGGCTCATAAGAACAATGCCGCAATAGAGAGAAAGCAAAGAAACACGAAGAAAATGAGAAAAAAGCTCGTGCAAGCGGTTGGCTGGAGGGCGGCGTCTGCCGCGCTCTGCCGCGGTCAGCCTGCTCCAGTTCGAATTCAAATTCGACCACCGACCGACTAGTGGGGTGAGGACGACTATAAATATTCTTATCCAACTTTGCCAGATTCTACGAAATTTTAATATGTCTTGAAGATTTTATAGAGGACTTCAAATTTATGGTCATGCCTTGAAAGGTTTGTAGTATGCAATTACTAGGTGGGGAAGCTCAGCATTTCTTGAAAAAACTTGGAAATTATCTTTTTCTCAATCTCCAGCCGAGAATCATAGCAACTGTATATATAATGTATGAGGTGGAGCTAATTGAAAGCACGATCTTTTACTCCGAGCTTGCATTTTTCTCGATTTTCTAGCATTGATTTTTTCAGTTTTGGTGTAGAGTTGGTGTAAGCGGTCGAACACTTCTTTGTAGATCTTACAGCTCTATCTAGATAGCTTGGAACCTATGCTAAGTAGCTGAATACAACTTACTGCGGTTTGAATGATTTGGTGAAAGAAGCAACAATATAATATCAGCTCAATACCAGCTATTTAAATTGGTATGAAGCTTCGTATGCATGTCAAACGAAATTATTGAACCTTATACTTTCGGTTAACTTAGACCAAATCAAACTTACGTTGTCCAGCTATTACCGCCATTGTAACCATTTGCTAGTACTGGATCATCATCTTGTTGTACAATTCTTCTAAATTGAAAGTGATGAAGATACATATTGAGTGGAATGATGGGTCCACAGGAGCAAACTCACTTTTTGTTCTTCACTATCCACATAAAAATGAAGCAAATAATGCAGATGATAAGCAGCGTCACAATGGCAATAACGGTGTAGACAATCCATGCACTTTCGTTAAACATTGACTCTGCAACAATGTTCAGTCAGCCTCAAAATGCCTTTTATGCGACACAATGGAGAGATCTCAAAAGTGCAAAAGAATTTATACGCAAAGCAGCTGCAATTACGGACAATCTTTGACTCTGCCCAAAATCTCAGTACTACCTTCGAACTACGAATAAGGGCATGACTAGCTGGTCCTGCGAATGCGCATAAGGAAATTATGCTTTGAACGGGTTGCGAAAGGTTTTGTCTGGTATGGTATTGATAGGATTAATTACTAGCTAGCATTGAGTAATGTGTCATAGCAAACTTGCATTTTTTGCATTTTTTCAGCAAGCTAGCTTGAATTTTCAAGTGCATTGTTAAATATATTTGCAAATCGAGCATTCCATCAATTGTGTGTCAAATTTCTCAAAGTAGTCTGCTCGAATTGTAAGAAATGGAAAAATGTAACAACCAGTTCCAGAAATCAGCAGCACATGTCGGGCGCAAAATCTCTAGTGATCAAAAATGCTCAAAAACCGCGTTCGCACCCGCTGCGCAGGGAGACCGACCGCCTTCGTCAAAAATCAGGATTCGAATTTTTTGAAAATTAAAATAGAAAATAGCCTCTCAAAATAGCCATTTGGCAACTCCAGGGTTCTAAGTTCGCCAAAAATTTATATTGCTTTCCAAAAAAATCTAGGACGGCGTGCAGATGTCACTTCTTTTCAATTGGGAGTAAAATCTCTCAAGGGAATTTTAGCACCTTTCTAAGATTCCACTCATCGGAAGCTTTTCCACTTGTTTCCATTTCCAGAATGTAATACCGTGTAGACCCTACAGATGGGCGTATGTCAACAGGGGCGATTTTTATTGCCAGATGGACATCAACTAGCGCTTTTTAGTGTTGAATAACGTTCTAAAATACTTTTAAATTTCTGATGAAATGTGCAGGATTGTTGCCAGGGCTGTCCAACCTTATATCTTGAAATAGATGCAAAATATGAATGTTGGAGGTCAAAATCCAGGAAAATGCAACTAACCGCAATTTCGTTAATTTTTCGAATAGATTTTCTCCGGAAGCCGTCAAACTTTGCAAATGCTCTCTTTAGATAGTTAAATAAGCTAGAGCACTTTATTTGATGTTTTTAAAGACTCCCATAGCTCGAAATTGGGGTATTAGTGGCCTCTAGAGAAATTACCCCTCTTGACCGTTTTTCATTAAAGATGGGGTTGTTAAACATTTGCAGTTAGACCGCTGTCTTTTTATCAGTTTAGCATGGCAGTTGGTCCTCATTTTTATGCGATGACAATCAAAAACTGTGAAACTTATGTTACTTACCTACTGTCCTGAAAAAACCCTCGAGACCCGTACTTTCCGTCGTGGCATTAGTAGTTGTGGCCATACCAGTGATGTTATTAGGGTCAATCTCTGGCAGTTCTCCAATGAGAAGATCGCGTGAATGTGGAGACACGCTGACAAAAGTCGAAGTGGAGGGTTCTTGGAAATCAACAGCAAAAATGTTCTCAAGTAGCGTGCCATTTGTTGCTGTTACATTGGTCTCCATCTGTAAGTGGAAAATTAATAGGGCGAATGAATGAGGCGCCAAATGGAAGATGAAATTCGAATTAAAAATGAAATCAAAATGAAAAAAGAAACATACTGAGTGCATATAACGACAAACTGTTGAAAGAAAATTCCTAAAAAACATTCAAAGACGAAGGAAAAAATGATACCAAGTAAACCCCCTTCCTAAACAAAAAAGAAAGAAAAAGTTTAAGATTGATGTCTTGAAAACAAACAAATATTTCTTCAACGAAGATTAGTGATGACCACTCACATAACTCGGAATCGATATGGTCACAGGTTCTAAATAAATTATACTTTCGCAATCACAGTTCCTTTTTATCATAAAGTGCATAGCTGAAGAACAATGAATATGAATCACAGAATAAACCATACCATCTATGGAATTACTGACGCGTTTTTGAAAATTTGTTCACCTTATCACACTCCTCACGTGCACTATTAAGCTACTTTTTGTAGTATTCGAAAGAAAGAAGTCGCCAGAGCATTAGTTAGAAAACCAGAGGCTTACGAAAGTGTGCACTAGGAGCAATAAGAGACGGACAGCAGAGCTATAAACATGCAAAAATGACAGCTAACAGAATATTCGTGCAATCGTATCTTTGTTACAATCTGCGAAAAAAGTGCAGCTCTTCCATAGGAGCCGAGCGAAGATGTGTCATTTACGAAAGGACATTCTGCTCGAATAAAGTATCCGCGGCTAGAATTAATGATGCTTTAGATAGTGGGAGTGAAGTTATAAAAGGTGGCAAAGATACAATTTGGGCTTCTATTATGGTTTGGACTTTTACTGAGACCGTATTAGCAATCAAGCTTTTAGTGCGCTTCACAATAGTTCGAATACAGCTACCGAGAAAGGCCGCAAAATGGGGCAAGTGAGCATTTTTGACCTTTTCTTTCCCCCTTTTAGACTTACGACATCTCTGAAAACCCGATGGAAAAGCTCCTAAACCTTGCCTGATCGCTCTACGATATTTCGTCTAATTATCTCCTCAAAAATTTTTCATTTCTTGAACGACCTTCGCATTTTCATCACTTGGAACCGTATCTTATATTGCAGAAAACGACCTTCGCTGAATGGTTACCATATTTTCCATGGTTAGTGTTTTGCTTGCGCGGTACCAGTTTTCTACAAATGTTTTTCTTTCTTTCTTGAATCGAACAATGGTATTGCTGTTAGAAACATACGTCAAGTTAAGAGCGAATCCAATTTTATGAATTGTTTGTGATCCAGTTTCCAAAATTTGATTGATCAGATTTTCAGTACCTATTTCTAACAAAAACCGCTAATGTTTTTGATATAGCGCTTGATTTTTCGAAAAAAGAAACTTCCATCAGACAGAAAGAACATGTCATAATTCTTTGAGGGCCATTCCTTGAGCTCTTCAGTCAACTTTCCAAGCTTTTGACTCCTATTTGAGAAGAAGTTCTCTTGACTTATACGACTTTTCAACTGGAAATACTACAGATATGAATAAAAGCTTCAAAAATGAGCTTGAACTTGTCTGCATCCTGAGATTACCATCAAAACTCCGATATCTCACCATTGCAATCCAACGCTAGAAAATTATTACCAAAATTGAAAATTTTTGCAAAATAAACGTTGCAATGAAAGGGCAATGGAAAAAATTCTAAAAATGCCAATAGTGAGGAATTCGCTCTGTCTTCTAAATCACCTAACATCGAGAAAAGGTGCAGAAAACAACAGTGCTACAGATACAAAAATCAAAACAACATAGAGTTCAAACGAAGTACAAGGATGAATCTGGGAACCTTGAAAAATGATTTATTGATGGCGGATGGTGCGCTTGGGAACGCTGAAAAGAAAAATTGCATCAAATTTCCTAAATCAGTGGGACAATAGTTGTGATTTTGTTGACGCGCAAGGCAAATCAAATTCTCCAGATACGATACCTGCTTTTACAGCCTGTAAAAAAAGCTGCACCCTGATTTGTGAGCTGATCGGTGGGTCCACAATTTTTGGAATTTATAAGGTTGCAATAGAACAATAAAGCATATTTAATGCACGAAAAATGTCTTGAACTATTCGAGTTGGTCCACTGAAAATGTAGACCCACAAATCGCCTAGAACGGATTAATGCAAAAATAGTGCCCACGCTAGGTTGTACAAGAAAAGTCTGACTAGCAGAGACGGCCCCATTCCCCCGAGAATAAGTTCTGAAATTTTTGAAAGTTACTTACATGGACCACAAAAATGTGCAGGTGATTTGCTTGTACTTATAAATAATTAAAGTAATTTTTTAAAAATTTTTAAAAATGTAAACAACATGGCCTTGTAAAATAATTTTTTTTCAGGGCCGTGGCAGCTTATGGGCCAGTTAAAATTTTGAGAAGCATCACAAACATTTTTTTGGAGTGCGTGGCCAAGCCAGGCAACTTTTTTTTCGAAAAAAATATTGTCCCCCCCCCCCCCCCGGCGGCCTGTATACGCCACCGTGGTGTACTAAACTGGAGTGAGAAACATGCGACAATCTATTTCTATCATCCCTTACGTTTTACGATGTACGATATGTTTGAATAGCAAAGAGTGAAACGTGATGATTGATCCTCAAAAAGTTTCATTTATAGAAAACGGCGTAGAGAACTAAAAAGATCAAAAATGGGTCAAACTCGCCTTAGAGGAACTTTCGTCGAAGCTGCAGCCAGAAAATAGATTGAAGCGGATTTTCTCGCAAAAATATTTATTCGAATAAACTTTAAGAAGTCCGAATGACGGTTTGCCACGCTTTTAGTTAATTTGTCTCTTAAGTACAGAAATAGACCGGAAGTGCTTCAGCTAATCGCTTGATCATTATCATCGCCATGGTGCCAATGAATTATCAGTAAGTTTGACGTTCAAGAATTTTTTAAATCTGTAATTCTATTGATGTATCACTGTCTCAGTTGACACAGCTACATCATGAGTTGGCAAAAAAACGTTTGCGTCACGTGAAGTCTGGGAATTTTCCCCTTGGAGACAAATCTATTATCAGAAACTTCTAAGGCAAGAAGTTTTTCATTTCTTTTTGTGGTACTGACTCAATGGAACTGCGGAATATCTTACTAGGTTGTTGGAAAGAATCAAATCAGCATTTTGTACATGAAGGGGCTTTCTTGATGGGTGAAGTTAAGTAAAGTTTTGATAAGGAAGTTCCTGATTTCTCAACATTGGTTGCGAAATGCACAAAAAGTACAGAATGGAAAGAGGTGGCTTTGAAGGGCATCTATGGAATTCAGCAATTTATGAATCGAGGCAGAGCTCGTTGAGGTCAATTGCTCCTTCCAATGACTTTTCCACTGTGTACTTACCAAAGCGACAACTTCATTGTAAACTTGTATTTTTAAGAGGCTATCTAGGAAATGACCTCGCATCAGAAGATGTGAAGTGGCTTAGGCTCATGAAAAATGAAAACAAAAACGGAAGTTATTTGCATTCCTGTAAACCGGTTTATCCTATGCGTGAATCTAAGCAAGTAGTTTACTTTTCTAACAAGTGTCATGATTAGCTGAGTTTCTCAGCAGTGATTTCCAAAACATCAAGAAATTGAAATTACTATACAAAATCAGATCTGAAAAAATTTCAAACATGTGATCTACCTTCGCACGCTTGTCTCGGAAGATTTTGTTTAGAGCATGCGTTACGGAACTTTCCAAAACGAAGAGCTCTCCGTCAATCCTTCAAGAAACTCCAGTGTAAGTACATATCATGTTTGGCTTGCATGTATATCGCACAGCAAAAAAAGCAAGAAAGCACAGTAAAGAAACTTAAATCATAGAGCGCTACTGTAGAGAATTTATAGCTGTTTGACATGAAAACTAAAACAACGACGTGTTTTGCAGCCGACAATAAATTTCATGCTACTGCAAAAATTCTGTATGGCTTCCCATTAGACGAAGCAATAAAATAAACTCATATTATAGTTCTGCACCCTTGTGGGATTAACAAATACCCGAGAGTTAATGAGATACACTTAAATATTCTGAAGGCGCTAACGTTCTGTCAAATTTCGATCCCTCATCTATTCAAAGGCCCAAATTTCATCTAAAAGACTGAGAAGCTTGAAGACTACCAGCTCTACTCTAGAAGAAGGGGTGTCGAACACATTGTCGGGGTTACAATATAGAGTGCTGAAATTTCAACAAACTCGCTTAGGAAGTTATTTGAACGATGTCCATCTTTCAGTCATTTTGATAGAGAGCTTCATCTTGCCCTGCTAAATTCAGTATAAATCGACGCGCTAATTTTGCTACCCCTTGCCCTATGACGAAAAAAGTTACTTTTAAAAGAGTTATGCTGGATCGAGTTGAGTGATTTGGGCAATGATTGAAGAGCTACAGAAAAAGAGTGATTTGAGCAATGATTGAACAGCTATAGAAAAACGCAGATGGATCTATTAACTGTTATTCTCAATATCGTCCATTGCATCACCTGTGGCTATTCATAGTTCTGTTAATGATTACCAGCTATCAAAGCAGCGCACATCATAATTGAGCTTGTTTTGTCAAAGCACTTCTCACTCAAAATGTTTTATTTGTGCACAGGGTGGGCTATGAGATGCAGTTGCTTTGGAGACAAAATACAATTTTTTGTTCACCATCAACGAAAACCTTGTGAAACTTGAAGTCATGAAGGTCCGCAAAAATTTGAGTTGCCAGAATGCATAAGACTGCCTCTAGGTGAATCCAGTATTTTCTACGAAAAAAGAAGAGCCCCAAATCACGTTCCTCTCTGAGAATTTGTAGTCAGCTGCATGATTCTGCTTGACAAAAAATAGAAGTTGCCTGGTGACATTGGCGCTGCTCTTTTCTCAAACATTAATGGTGGTGCACTCATACGAAAAGCAAACATAGATAATGCATAAAAAGCTTGTAAAGGAGCTAAAGCTCATGGTGGATATTAGGTTCCATCGAAATCAAGCATACTCTTCCAAATCTTTAGTGATGTGTTTACTAACGGAGAACCTTTCTTAGAATATCCCCCACAATTACCCTTTTTGGCAATTCTTCTTTTCTGAACCACCAACTCCTCCCTTTTTTTTCAGCGGCTTGTTGTTTTATTTTTGGGTGACGTAACACCAAATTTGTATAGACATGTTAAAAATAGAAGCGACTAAGTAGTCAGACCACTTCAGAACCCTAAGTCACCCGCAACTCAAACAAATTTCAAAAACTGAAGAATGTTTATTTTGCATCTCTGCGATATAGCAAAACTAAGTACCCCTGCATTTTTCAGCATCTACTCTGCGAGCATAAGCCATGCGGTTATGCATGAATGACTTTTTGACTCCAAAAACACGTGATCCAAAGAGCATTTCATTAAAATTTCGAAGTATGCTGTGCCCACACAAAGTGAAAATTGCTGAAAGCTTTTGAGTTTGGTAATGTCAAATCCAAAAATCAACGAGTGTCCAAAAATTAACGAAGGCACAATGACTGCGTGTTCCACGCACTGGAATAAATTTTTGTAATGAGAAAAAAACATCATGCGAACAGAACTTTGAGAATAAGATTCAGTGGTCAATTATAATTAACGTATTATTTATTTATTTATTTATTCTAACATACTTATTATGTATGCTCAATGCACAGAGAATGCTGAAAATGTGAACGTTGGTACAAACTAAATAAATGAAAATGGAGAAGAGGCCGAGTTCCCACAAAAAATGCTTTACAGAATTTCAAAAGCTCAGATAGGGTGAATGATGTATATACCCTAGAATGATAAGCCATCTCATTATGATCATACGTAAATCTTGTACCTTTTCAAGAAAAACTCATTAACGGATATGTTCGTTTGAAAAAATATGAAGTAAGTATATTATGGCTTTCCATTTGAGCTTGAAGCAAAATCATTGCTGAAAAGACTAACTCTTTAAAAAATGTAATTTCACGTCGTTTCGTCTCAGAGTTTTTCCCTAAAAATCTAAAAGGTCCAAGCAGAGTGATTTTAGATTTCTCTATTTCTTAGAATTTACTTCAAGATAATTGCTGTTCGGGAGGATATTCGGATATTGTTTTTAGACTTTCGATTTCATTGCATCCTACATGAAATCTAAGTGAATGGTATACACCATATATTAGGTTGTCCCGAAAGTTTTGTCGGTTTTTTTCATCGCTCACCAAAACTCACAGAACACCAATCCATGAACGATATAGGTATCATTCACTTCCAATTTTTATTTTCTTTCTTACAACTATATTTGTTTTCTGATCTACCCTGTCTTTGCGATGTTATCGCCATGGCTTTTTGAGCACCTCAGCAGTAGCGCCAAATCTTTCCTGAATTTTCAAAATTTTTATGCTGATATTTTCGAAGAGACGCTGATGACTGTTATGTAAAGCAAACCTTTGGCTACATTGTACCTATTTTAGATTACGTGGGCCACGTTTGTCCGTTATGATTATTTATTTAATAAAAACCGCAGCTTTTTGATCACGTTTACCACGTAAAATTATCGAAAATTCCAAAAAGCTGATTTTTGAGGCAAATCAAACTTGATTATGTTGCATAAATGATGTTTGATGACAATCAAGTTTGAATTCGCAGAAACTCCGGAAATTTCCTGCTTTTGCTGCAGTTGCGTGTTTCATGACTTTGCTAAAAATCAAGACCTCCGAAGAAATAATTCTTTTAAGCTCAATACAGCAGATTAGGAGAATCTAAAAATATCTTCGTAAAGTCCTGGAATTGCTCTATTTGAACCACACTCAACCCTCTCCGAAACTTTGAAACGAAATTTTTAAAAATTAGCCTAACTTTGAGCAGATAAAAATGGCGGGTGAAGAATTGTGGCAATTATCAAAAAAAGCATGCAGGATTGCGGTAGGAAAATGTAATCATAAGAAAGAGAAGGAAAAGTTGCATCGAATGCGCTTTGAAACTCATTTAGGTCTTTACTGTGCATGATTTTATAGTGGTTTGAAAAAACCGACAAAACTTTCGGGACAACCTAATATCATACATCACAGAAAATAAAAAATATCGGTCGTGAGAACAATGGCGGATAGAAGCAGAAGGGAATGGGATCCCTTCCCCAAGAATGGCTGGCTAAAATTTATAGTAGCACAAGGGCGGGCCGCGAAAATTTTTAAGGTAGCTTAAATGAGTCATAAAACTGTGCTAGCGACTTGTTTCTTTTCATAATTCAAAATATTTTTTCATTTTCTATTATTCAAATTAGCTTTCAGAAAAACTGATTTAGGAGTATTTTTGAACAATTTCAAAACGGCTTTTCATGATTATGCATGCAGGCTTGTTGATCATCCTAATACAATGAGAGAAAAGGCCAAACAAGGACAAATTCAATGACTTATGAGAACAGTGGTACGAAAGCGTGTTACAACGGATAGAAGTGCATTTTGGGGCATAATGTAGAAAAAACATGCTGAATGTGATGGCCATGCACTGTTCTGGGACATGTCCACATGTTTAATATGCACTTGGTCAAAATGTCGCACTTGTGACGTGAAAAATCTGTATGCACATTGATGGATGTGTGATGGCAGAAAATGTTTTAGAATGTCAATCAACATAAATTTGAAATGCTGAAATTGCCATCGTTGTCGGCGAGAAAGAGACAGCAAGCAAAAGCGTTAAAAGGAAATTTATGAGTAGAAATGCGTGCAGCTAATAAAAGAACGAAAACATTTATAGACATCAGTATCCAAGAGTGAATTCTACGGATCTTTATGCCTTAGTTCTGACAATGTATACAACAATGAAAGAGTCCGAATTTTTGTGTTGCTACTCACACTATCAACAGATTTTTTGTGCGAAAGGGGTTTGGTAGAGATGGCTGTTAAGAATAAATGAACCGTAAAATTGAACTGTAGAATAAAAACTGTACAAAGCAGAACAAACACCGATAAAAAACATTTACATTAATTTACCATAAGATTGAGATTAAAGTTAAACTAAATCGCGATTATTTAGAGCTATCTAAAGAGCTTTTATCTAGCGAACAATTCTTCAAAATACTTTACAGCTAAATCCAAGTCCTGACCGATTATCCTCGACTGCAGTACTTATAGGGAAGACTTATTGAAGATAAATAAATAAATAAGTTAATATTTCATATATTGCTATTACTAACATCTTAGGGTTATTTCAAGTGACAATAAAGTTTCTCAATAGAACTGCATAACACATAAATACTTCCTGCCACAGAATTTATACGAGAATAGAAGCCTTGCACAACTCTTACTATTTTATTTCCACTTACTATTTATATTTCGTTAATTGATCTATGTAATTTAGGGGCACTTAAATTAGAATGAAGTACGACCCAGTCAAAACAGTCATTGCTTAACACCTGAGGAAATAGAA